GAACTTTTATTACATCCGGTGAACGTGCGCTCCTCTACGTTCGGTTTTAGATCAAAACAGCGCAATACCGAGTTTTTTAAAAAACTCGGTACAACTCGGTACTCGGTATTGCGCTGTTTTGGTCTAAAACCGAACGTAGAGGAGCGTACGTTCACTGGATAAAATAAAAGTTCGAAGAGAGAAGAGAGAAATAGATATTGGGGGTAAAGTGAAGAGAGAAAAAAGATATTTTGTGTGAAGAGCAATTTGTATAATTTCTCTTAATTTTTATAATGAATTTCTTAATGCTATGTAACTCCATTATTTTTTCTCCATGTCAAATTTTTTTTACCGTAAATTCTGTTATTCGTTGCACTTATATCTTTCTTATTTTTTTCTTTGTGTGACTATACTTCCCAACATGTACTTATTATGGTTGGCAAAAGTCAACAAGAGTGGCTTCTTCCAATCACCTCATTTAAAAGATGGGTCAATAATAAATCATTCTAGAGACTCAGTTTCATTCATTGCAACATAAGCATCACATGGTATAATTGCACATCAAATTATTCAGTGTACAGATAAGTTAGTTCGTCAAAGATACTAAGGGATTCGTTCAACGATTTACAAAGAGAAGAGTTAAGAGGTTGGGAAAAAGCCGTTGAACTAATTTTAAGACAAATAGAATATAAATTTCATTATTTTATATATCTTATATTCATTTCAAAATAAATTAAAAATCACAGCTAAAAAAGCCTGAATTTTGCAAAACCAAAGCTTAAAGCCAAATTTTCTTTCTTTAATCAATGATGAAAAATATACAGTACAATCGTACAAATGAATAGGAATTGTTCTCTTAATAAACCCTCACAAACGCAAAGCCTATCCTATCGTAATGGGGAAGCTTTTGAAGCCCAAATAATTAAATTACTACGAAAGTCTCATAGTATACACAATCACAAGCTAACAATGAGCACTTAGCTCAATATGATATCGGCCCTACCTCATATGAGTAGTTCCAATTAAAAAAAAAAAAACCTGCACCTGTTTCAGAAACCTGCTTGCTTCAATCTACAATTCTGCTTGTCTGATGCATGCAGCAAAAACCTGCGCCTGTTTCAGAAAATACGAAAATGACAATCTTCTCATATGGTATATGATGCCATTGTTGGAACATTTGAGTTCTGTTATGCTCTAAATGAACAGATAAATTTGGGCGAATATATTTATACATGTCATAATTGCACGCACTGCATAAATTTGTTCATGAACAATCAATTGATTTGAAGTATCATATGAGAATTATTGTTGTTGCAGAAACAAGCACAGCAATTAAAACTAATGATTTTAGGGAAAAGAATAAATTCAAAATTTTTGTTGCAAATTTTAACATAGATTTGGTGCAAATTAAAATTTAAATCAGACTTTGATTTAAATTTCCAAATATTTAAACTACCATAAATACAGATCAGTGTATTTAGATTTAAGGAAGAAAGTTTTCTTAAGGAGTATTTATGTTTATACATGTTTGGCTTCCAAGTTCTGGATTGATTTCTCTCTAATCTCCCATAGTTGTAAGGAAGTACTTGGTAAAATCACATAAACTATGGTGTCACCTTGTAGCGCTTGAATTTTTTTATTATTCTTTAATTTATTCATAGAACCAGTTCCTAGTAGAGAATTTCTGCATAATATGTACGTTTTTCTAACACAATCACGTCCATTCTTTCATAGCATAATAACAGGTTATTCTGTGTGGGAGCAGGGAGAGAAATGTGTGGACATTAAAAAGAAAGTTTAAGGCCTTCTCCACCCGAACTCCAAACGCATTAATGGCGTTGCTCACGAGCTCCAGCCGAATAGCAAAACTTCCGCTATTTGGTTGCGGGTGAACAGCGCGACGCCAATATTGGCGTTACACTGTTCACCTACGCTATTTTTTTGTCACTACAAGTTTTGCGAAAGAAATGCGCGAAAGAGGAGAAAGGCGGTTACCGCGCAAAATAGAGTTCGATTGGAGATGAATCACGACATTTTTTTAGTTTCACTATATTTTAGAGTGAAAATTGGATTTTCGGTTGGAGATGCACTAAAGAAGCATACGCTAGAAAAGCGGTCCGTATCCACCACAACATATTTGCCCAATGAAAACTTCATTGCTATGTATAAGATCATCAATCCAAAGCAATTATCATATTTATCGATGCTTGCATATAAGTATTTCTTTCCTCATGCATGCGCTTTATAACAAACGATAGAAACCATTTTTTATGCATTTTTATGAACCAAGTGTATGGAAACCACCTACAAGTTGTCAAGGAATAGTGGCATTTCAGCTTCGTTTGGGATGGCTTTCTTGATGCTTCTAGAAGAAGCTTTTTAGTATTAAAAAAAATTATACTAGAAAGCTGCTTCAAGAAGCAGCAAGAAAGTCAACCCACACAAAGCCTTAGTTAACGCTGGTTCCCTAAACAGATAACTACGAAAACCTTTGTACAGGAATGTATTGTCAAAAATGTTCAAAACTTCAAATCCATAGTGAGCCCACATTTGGAAGGAAAAATGAGAATTACCTTCTCGCCTGCGGAACTAAACAATTTGCAACTCCTCGTCCCAAAAATCAACTAACAGTGAATAAGATCTATGGTCTCCTTTAAGTCACGCGTAATACAAAAAAGACTGTCAAAATGAGTCTGATTGTTAGACTCCACAGAAAGAAGTTTCGCCATGAAGCTGATAACAGAACCAAAATAAATATAGAAAGGGACTCTCAAGTGAATATGGAATAAAAACCAATTAATGAGAAATCTCCAGTGATAGTTGAAAGGTATTCCACACATAAATTTGCTCAACAGGCATAACTTGCATCGTGTACACGCTTTTATGAATAGCAGTAGGATTGAATATACTTTTTAAGGATTATTTCTAACATGAGAAGTTCGACGATAATCTATGACCCACCAATAATTTAATTATAATTGACTCACCGTTCAAATTTTATTAACCCTCACAAAATGCTATCTTGCATAACAACTACTGGAGAATTTGAAAATCTCCAACCAAATGGCTTTATTCCATTCAAAGAGTTTGTTTTGAGGCCAATGTTCACATAATTTAAAATTGTGTGCCATTGATCATTCTTTTATATATCCTAATTTAGGCTCCAAACTTTCCATCTTCTCCATCCCTAACAATAAATCCATTCTTCAGTCCCACAACCTCTACTTCAATAGCATAATACAGCAATGTGAGATGCTTAATTCCAGCTATTCTCATTCATTCATTATTTATGAAAGTTAAGTAATATTATTTAATGTGTCATTCTTATGTCATTGTACTTGGTAATCTTTTTTTTTTTAATTTATCAAAAATAAAATAATCATTTTATTAAGAATATGCTTACCCTTTTTTAATTTTTACTACGATCAGATAGTCAAAGAAAACTACAGGTACTAATATAAATAATAAGATTTAAATTGTAATCAAGGACGACTGATGATAGAATAAAGAACCAGCTTTCCTCTAACAAACAATAAGGCTATTCTCTCCCACTTGGTACCTCTTGCTTCCCTTTCACTGCAGTCATCCATTGTTTTGATCTTCTCAACCTCCTCTCTTTAGATCTTGTGCAATTTTTTTGTTTCATGTGTAGGCCAATTTGTTAATTCATAATTCAATAGAAAGTTAATATGTCATCATTTAACACATTATTTAGATATTATATAAAAAATTACTTTTGACATTTATTATCACTTTCCACAACTTTTTTTATTTTGAGGCGTAAGCCTCAAAATGCTCATAAACAAAAAACGCCTCAATACCCAATTGCGCGATTTTAAACATTGGATGATGGAATAAGAAAAATTCTTTCTTGAAGCACTCACCTTAGTTATTTGATTCCTTTCTCTCTCTCCTAGACTTGAGGCTCTTCTTTCTCCTTATGTACTTATTCATCGTCCACCCCTAAGATGCATATTCTTCTAATCTTCTCAATCTCCTTCTCTTTACCTTTCCAGTCCTTCCTCTAGACTAAATTCTTCTCTTCTCAATAAATCAAGGCTGCCAAGAATACCGTGTATTCTCTACTACCTTAGACCATTCTATGGTGCATAAACACAACTTCCTCGTCAATGCAATTCAGAATCTTCACCTCCAACGCAACAAGCAATTATAGCATGTTTATGCAAGCAACAACTCTAACCACGCCTAATGGATGATGATAGAAAGAACGAAACCATTGATCGGAGGATGAAGGTAATTTTTGTGGCTCAACAAGGGATGATCCCGACAATCATGGTGAATCAAACAATCAAAGTGAAACCATTTAACTGCCCTCATCATGTTTTAAAATGGTTTTTAAGCCGTTTCTTAACAGGCCTGACTAACAAATTAAACCAAAGCGAAAATTCAACTAATGGTTTGCTCATTAAAATTTAAGAATTTGATTCAGTTTTCAAGCAATCTTTAAGCTAAATTCTCAGCCATTACTTCCACCTTGCTGCTACAAAGCAATCATGACTGCTTGTTGAAGCACTTCCTTGAATAATTACTTGAGTCAGACTATACCTCAACATGTGTATGGTCTTAAATGACTCCATTTAAGCCCATTTAATTTAATCATCTAGATTTGGACTAGCTAAAATTTATTATGGTCTTGGCAAGCTATCCATTAAAGTCAATTTAGGGTAGTTATATATATACAATGATTTCATTATGATGATCATGACCATTCAAAGAGCCAAGGCCATTTTGCCTCTCCACCAATTCCCCCTCATCCCACTCATGAAATGCCAGTTTTTTTTTTTCCCATGAAATACCAGCTTTATTTTCTCTATTTGTCCCCAAAATCTAACATAGATTCAATGGAAATGACTCCTAAGCAAACCTCACAATCTTTCCCCTTATTTTCCTTTTATTTACCAAAAAATGTTTAAGAAAATACCAACCCTTTTCTAGCTGTTCCACAATCGTTACAAGCATGCATTGCACAGCCAAATTTGAATCCTCAACGCTTCAGAATATAACCACAGCAGTTGAGTTAGAATAATGCATGTGGGAATGGTGAGAGAACAACCATTCTTTAAGAAAATCAGTGAAGCACAATGCGATTATGAAGACCAACTTTAAAGAAAACTTCACCACTCTGAAAAGGAACAAGTACACCATAGCCAAAATGAAAACTCCATTGATGAACAAGTTTCTTAATGCAAAGGTACTATTCGTATTGTTTACATGTCAGGGAGGTGATATGCGTTCATCTGGATGCATGGGTGTAAAGAAGCTTGCTTCCGTTTAGTAGCAGTGCTAGGGTGTGGTAGTTAGGAGTTGAGATATAATCTTTGAAGCATAGTGACTTGTTTATTGAGTTGGTTTCCAAAAGGGTAATGGCCAATCTAATGGTCTTTAAAGTGAGGTATCCTACTCAGCTGAAAAATTTGCACGGCATCAATCAACCAAAACACTTGGAGAATCATTTACAAGCCTAGTGGATAATATTGCCACTAAGTTTTAAATTATGCGTGAAGAATTAGGCTCTCCTATTACAGTTCTTATTTTTCAACAAGAAGTTATCATCTTAGGCCAGAATTAGCTCATTTGAACTACCACACTCAACCCTCCATACATAATCCGATGAAAAAAGATTCAGTGCAATTAATAGAACGGCATTGCAATTAACAGAACGGCATTTTACAGTTTTTTAAACATTTTTAAAAGGTACTATTTTTTGTTTCTATTTCAACGGAAATATGAATGGTGGGCTTTTGAGTTAGTTTTCACCTTTATTGAAACAAAATTATACTTTCATGGGGCATGAAAATCAACCAATAAAATAAGAAAATTCTAAGATTTAAATTACACTATGAAGCTTCAAATCAAATTATGAAAGTTTCAGTCAGATTCATTTATGTGTTAACAAGGGCTCTGACAACACTTAAATTCTGAAGCACTCCAAGGGAATTTTATCTGCATTAAACAAGCAAATGTCATCATGTCCTAATGCATGCTGGGCAGCACTAGTTGTTATCTGCTTTAAATTGAATTTTATAGGAAAACTGTTTCACTTTACATTAACAATCTTAAATCAAGAAAAAGAACCAGAAGCAGAGCGCAAATCACTTTGCCAGAAGTTTAGAATAAGGCCATCTAGGCTTAGCAATCAAGAAAATCAAGTAAAAAAAAGGATTCAAGTGATAAGTGAGAGATTAGCTAGTATGTATAATCAAGAAACGGCTAAAGAGACTCACCAATCAACATTACAGTGACAGCAGTCCAAATAATCATCTGAATAGGTCGACCATACTGTATTTGATATTGAGACCTCTGGATCTGTCTTTGAAAAGCTCCAAACCAACCATATAGCTGCTTGTTGGTAGAATCATCAGTAAAATCGCCAAGACAGCTCTTGCTCTTCTCATAGCATGCATTCATGCCCTTAATTTTACAGGAGGAAAAAAAGGACGGTGGTCAATTAAAGTACAAAGAATCTTGAAGCAAATCATTACAATAGAAGGGGAAAAAAGCTAGTCAAATAAGAAAATCAGAACACAGCATATATTTATTGCTGAGGGTGAAATATATTCAAATTTGATCAAGGAGAATTTGCTTACTCGAGTTAGCTGATGATTCTGCAATGGTATAGACTCTTCCATATCCTCGTGGCTAACAGCCTTCCACTTCCTAAAACCATTTCTATACCACTTAGGCTTAGGTGCTGATTCGACAGTTTTTAGCTCCGACAGACTGAGTATCCTTGGAGGGGGAAGATTAGCCTGCTCATCTGATAACTTCCGAGGAGATTCCTCAGTAGATACCGAAATCTTCCACACCCCTAAGTCAGCACAAGCACTAGCTGTCCTCCGGTGACCTTTCAATTTATCCTCCATCATCTCCAATGAAGGCAACTCGTTGTTATGGAAAGGTTTGCAAACAGAAGCTTCTTCATTCATCCTATTTCCGGCCTCATGGACTCCAACTGCAGCTGTCGGTAACACCTTCTCCACTTCAGCACGCGAACCGGATAGGAAAAGAGCGAGCTCATCCCTTTCCCCTTCATCAAGCCGTACCCACGCCAAACGACTCTCCCCCTCCTCCTCAATATTCGACTCCTTTAGGGCTTTTTCCACCATCGAAATATTACTCCGGATCGCCGCAACAAAATCGTTGTGCCGAGTGACAGTGGCTTCTCCAGCCGCAAGAGCATGATCGCTGTACCTGACGGCCTTTTCCAACTCCTCCAGCTACAAATTTTCTCCCGATAAATAAAAAAATCCTCACATCGCTCTATAAAACAATAAAAGTAGAACGAAACAACGATCTGGAACTACCTGCCATTTCGCCGTCCCTAGGGCTGTATGTACCTCCCGCCGAAGCTCAACAACGAAATCACCACAATTTCCTCCGGACGCTACCGCAACGCCCTTTTCGTGCATCCATCGACGATACGCTGATTCCATCCTGCATAAAAAAAGAAAAAAAAAAAGAGAATTCAAGAAAAGAGCCAGCAGGAAAGAAATAAAGAAACGAAGATAGACAATTCAATACCTGTCGGTAGATTCCTGCACTTCCTCGGCGGCATAGAAGAAGGGATCCTTCTCCCATCGATCGAACGCTGTGGCCATCGATAACCCTAATTAACTACAATAACGTACAACCTGATATCCAGAAGTTGTCGGAAGTTGGATCGTAGACTCGAGCGATGATGAAACCTCCCTCTCGAGCAAAATTTCTCTTCTATCCGTCTCTCGGCTCTTAATATTAAGGGTGACGTCGGAGCGCCGTCGGAGGCGGGAAGCTTCTACTTGACGACGCGTCACGGCAGATAAAAGGAAGAGAGCCTGCCACCCCTTTCAGCCGTAGGATCGGCATCTGTAAAAAGGAGGGGTTTCGGGCCGAGTCGAGCCGGATCGGGCCGTCGACAGCAAGAAGAAGAAGAAAAAGATGAGTATTAGCTGATTCCACCCAACAAGAACGCACGTGGCGGTACATGGAACCCGTTTGGTGTTTATTGTGGTTGGGAGATGTGACGTTGGGCCCCGCACGTATTGCTTAGGCCACACGCGTGAATAGCGTGTTTGAGGCTTTGAACCGGGGACTGAACTCTGGACTATTGTTGCTCGATTATGATCCTCTGATCACCATCGTCTCATTTGAGTCCATCGACCATTGTTGATTTTTGGGAGCCCAAAATTAATTTTTAAGATATTAAAATGTTATTAAAGCAATTCATGTTAACCCGAAGGCCCGTGCCATGTTTAGTCTTAATAGGTGCCCAAAATTGGGCTCCATTATACCAAAAAAATGCAAATATGTGTGCTCTTATATGCACCTCATGGTGAAATTATTCTGTGCGGGCACGGGACCGTCCAAAGATGAATCAGAATGCGTCACGTCACTTTTTGTTGTGTATCGCTGCTGTGTACCATTGTGTACTGAGTAACGTGGCACGTTCTGAATCGCCTTCGAATGGTCCCGCATCCGCACAGAATAATTTCTCCACCTCATGTGGGCAAGGCATGCTTGCGCTTGCGTGAACATCAACATCTTCAGCGGCGATTGGAAGCCTGTTGACAAACCTAATCAGAGCCCAATTTTAGGACCTCGATAAACTTATTTCGACATTTTTTTAGTTCCCAAGAATATTTTTTGACGTTTCAAAACCAATTTTCATATACAATTCAATTACCCAATAATTAAAAACAATTAATTCTTCATCAATAAATATATATATATAAACTATTCTGATTTCAGTGAATAAAAAAAAAGCTACCAAAATAGAGATAATGACTTGGATATATTCTCTGCACAATGATTACCATTTAATGACCTCATTATACAAAGAATATATGATTAGCCAAGTAATTTGAAAGTTAATGAGCTATTACCTGTATTGCAGCTTGCATTTGTATGAGTACAGCCCAATAAACAAAAACTCTAATTTAAATTAATCTAATCTATGTTCATAGTAATAGTAATCGTTCATAATAAAATAAAAATTGTTTAAAAAAAATAATTGGACTTTGTCTTTTAAAAACAATTTTATTAAAAAAAAAAAAAAAAAGCTAAGCTTTTGCTGGAATTAAAAAACTGTGTATATTGATTGAAAAGGTTAGTTTCCATTAGGCACTAAAATCATTGTAGAAACCAAAGAAATGGAATTGGGAATAATTCAACTTTTGTATTATACTTCATTTAAACTTAGACTTTAATTGGGCTTTTTAAAAAAAAATTTAAGTAGTTTTTTAGCATAAATTTTTTAAAAAACTAAAATTTTATATTAGAAAATAGCTTTAAAAAGCAATAAGAAAGCTATGCCAAACGAAACCTAAATTTGAAAACTTGTTTCTTAAATTTAAATGAAAAAATTGTTTCATAAGTTTAACGGCATCTTAAACAATCTCACACACAAATATGATAAAAGTTTATAGTTGAATTCTATTTTCTTATAATAATAATAATTATTACTATTATTATTGGTCAAATTTCATGGCATTATGTCTAATAATAATAACTAGGGAGGCATAAATTTGACTATTGAATCCACAAAGGTGTAGTTGCTATTTAGAGGGCACAAATCCTTTGGGTATGCTCTTTTTTTTTTGGGTATTCATCATCTACCTTAGGCTTCGTTAGGGACGGCTTTCTTATTATTTTTTAAAGTAGTTTTTTTAGTACAAAGATTAAGCTTTTAGTATTAGACTGTTATTTTAAAAAACAATAAGAAAGTCATCTCAAACAAAGCTTTAAAATCATTGATGATTGCTTAGATTTTCCATATCAATAAGGACATGTAAGACCTCGTAGTTATTGATGATTGCTTAGACAATTACATCATTGGATGACCAATTAATATTCAAATGTAACATGATTATAGTCAAATCGAGCGGCTCAACGACACAAATCCAACGAGCCAAGATCCTCAAATTCTAACATCCTTAAGATACTCAAATGCTTGATAAATGATCCATGATCGAGGGAGTTGGGTCGTCCATTAAAACACTACTAACATGTCCTTAATACTCTTCATATTTACTATCCATGATACTCTAAAAAAACTATAAATAGATTTATCATTCTTTACAAAGGAAGGAGGAGGAATAGAAGAACAACAAATGATATTTCTTGCCTTCTCAAGCATGCACCACCAGCTAGATATCTTACTTACCACCAACCGTTACCGAACTCTGACAACGGACCATCGTCAGACTTTCGGCTATTCATTTGCTGGTGTTAGATCTTTTCCCAACAACACAACATTTCCAGACAAACTTATAATTAAGATTGAATCTCAATCCATCGTCAGACATTAATGAAACATTCTCTATCACTTAATCTACATCAAGGGGACCAATCTTTTGAAGTTTGGAATATCTTTAACATATTGTTTTCTCCTTGACATTGAGTTAAGGCAAGAGTTGACGTCGTCCGATTATGATTCTTCTGATCACCATCGCTTGTACTCGCCGACTACGGTCCTTTCAACCATAATCGCCTGCTGATTATGGTCCTTTTGATCATCGTTGCCCCAACTACAGTCCTTCCGACCATAGTCGCACATAAACTATAGTCCTTTCGACCACCATCTCCACAATTACGGTCATTCTGACCACCGTTGCCTCGACTATGGTCCTTCTGACCACATCATCAACCGACTTCAGTCCTTCCAACCACCATCGCCAGCCAACTATGGTCCTTATGACTGTCGTCGCCCACCGATTTCATTCCCTCCAAACATTGTCTTCCACCTATTATGGCCCTACTAATAAAATAAATATTCCAACATTTTATGCAGGAATAATGCCATATAATATGGTTTATACAATGTGTATTTGCTACATTGAGCTAACACTCTCCTTTAATGTGAGATATTATGTGTAATCAATCATTAATACTAGTGGATTCATTCAGACTTGGATAGGCCCCGTGATTTTTTCCCTTTTTAGGATTTTCCACGTAAAAATCTTGGTGTTTTTCTTATGAGTATTACACTATACTCTTTTATTTGTTTGTGTGATGGATCTTCGTACAAAATTAAGATGCTAAATTATACATATCTCTACCACCATAAATATTCCAGGATGCAGCAATATATATTCAAGTAGCTTGACTTGTTAACCTAAGAATAGTTTTTGATGAAGATGGAAGGTGATTCCACCAAGTAAAATGACAAAATTGCAAATAACTCCTATCTCTAAAAGCACTCGATTTGTAATTTGGCATATATCTTTACATGATAGAGTTCATATCCCCTTCAATATTTGCAAATGGTGATTTTGAGTTCTACAAGAAGACTTGGAGCATCACTGGCATCTCTATTTGTAATGTTGTTAAAAGTTTTTTTACTAAGTGTTATCTTCCCAAAAGTGTAAAAGCCACTGGCATCTCTCTTATTCCCAAAAAGACTCATGTGGAGAGTATTAATGATTTTAGACTCATTGCGCTTTGCAATCTCTTTTACAAAATCATTACTAAGATCATTGCTAACCGCATGAAGCTCAACATGCCCACTATTATTCATCAGAGCCAAGCTGCTTTTATTGCAAAAGATATTCCACTGATAATATTATCCTGGCCGGAGAAAATTTAAGCTATTGGAAAAAGTGCAAAAATAAGTATTTTTGTGTGAAGCTTGATATTAGGAAAGCCTTCGACACAATTTCTAGATGGTTTCTCTTTGAAAGATTGGCTCACAAAGGCTTTCGCTCTCTATTCATCCATTGGATCAAAGCTTGTGTTAATGATGTCAACTTTTCTGTTAATGTCAATGGGACATTGGAGGGGTTCTTCTCTTCTTCTTCTGGTATTAGGCAAGGCTGTCCCTGAAGCCCTTATTTATTCTGTATAATCATGGATGCATTCTCTTGTCTCATTGACTCTACACCCAGCCTTAAATCTTTTGAGAGTTTCAATTATGAGAACTTTAGAGTCTCCCATCTATCGTATGCTAACGATTTACTTATCTTTGGAAAGGAGGATGCTTCTAATGCCAATAGGCTTGCTGGACTTTTAAATACCTTCTTTAACAGCTCGAGACTGCATCAAAATTTAAATAAGAGTGCTATCATTACACATCACAACTATTCGGCTTCAGGTGAAATTTGTCGTTCACTTGATATTCCCAACATATCCAGAACTTTTATTTATCTTGGCTTGCCCATTTCTTTAGGGAGAATCAAAGTCACTGAATTTAGCCCTCTTGTTGATAAAATCACTAGTCTGCTATCTGGTTGGAAAGCAAATTTGCTCTCTTTTGCTAGTAGAATGCAATTAATCAAGTATACTATTACCAATATGATTGCCTATTAGACTCAAGGGAGTTATATTCCATAAACCATTATCAAAACTATAGGCAATCTCTGTGCTAAGTTTCTTTTTTATGGTGGGTCTCATCAAAGGCACTTGCATCTTAACTCTTGGGCTAATACGTGTAAACCTATTTCCAAAGGCAACCCTTAGCATTGCTTCTTTTCCAGCTCTCATTTTTTGCTTAAAACTGTAGGGTTATTTATAGATGGCATAATACTTCTTCCCCTCTTACCGATTGGATGAAACATAAGATACATATCCCCTTGGAAACCCAATCTTTCCAATACTTCCTCTTTCTGGAAGAGTTTATCTTGGATGGCTAGGAATGTTAAGCTTAATTTCTCTTTTCCTACTCATATGAATAGCATGGCTACTATTTTATGGGATCATTGACTTGGGGGGGGGGGGGGGGATTCTCTTACTGGTAGTTTTGTTTCTGTCTGTTGCCTTAATGAGAGGCTTGTTGAGTGGATCAATTCCTCAGGTTGGAGACTTCGTACTTATGTTTGTCCTACTCTAAGAGATCTCATTTTGGAGACTCCTTTTACTCCGACTAGCCCAAACATACTTTGGAATAAATTAGAAAAACCTACCTTCAAAGAATTTTATTTGGATTATTTTGCCCAGGATGATAATTTTTATTCTCATGCGTTGATTTGACATCGTAAACATTCACCTCGGTTCTCTATTTACTCTTGGATGGCATTCATGGGGGGCCTTAAAACTGTTGATGAACTTCTCAAGAGGAACATTCACATTCATGATTCTTGTTGCATCCTTTGTCGTGCCCATACAGAAATTATGACCCACTTACTGTTTGAATGTGACTATTCCTTCTCAGTGCTGACAAGAATCATTCCGACTTTTTTGAGTTTCTATCTAAGGCCAAATATTTCACAAGCTTTCGGCTTTTTTGATTCTTTTTTGGGTTTGTTTTATCTTATTTGTACACCTTTTTTATATAATGGAATGGGCTAAGCCCTCAATTTAAAAAAAAAAATTTTGGGGAAAATTGGGGGCAGAAAAAAAAATTATTAGCATCTAGTCCATTGGTTGAGTAAGTACTGAACCATCAATGGTACGAAAGAGGTGAAGCATAGTAAAACATGTTCTACTAGATATGGCATGATTCCACGTGGCAGCCATCGAGCGAACAACATTTTTGACAAATAGTTATTATTCCTGAAAGCGATAGAGATCTATAGAGGGAGTTGTTAATGGGTTTTGGGTTATGACATGTTTTTTTTTTTTTTTTTTTTTTGGGACATTTAGGCTATTTAAGGCAAATTCATACACACAACGCATACACATAGACTCCAACCCTTGACCTCTTAGTTGGAAGCCAAAGCTCTCAACCAATAGGCCAAGGAGAGTTGTGTGGTTATGGCATGTTACAACATTAATAAAAAAAAGAGGTGATTATTCCTAGAATACAATGGAGGATCTACGTTGAGCAGCTAATGGAATTGGGTGAAAAGTGCAATTGAAAAATAGGAATTTTTTTAATCAAATGAATGAATCAAACAATTTAAACAAACTTGTTGCGGGCTAAATATTCGCGGCGGTAAAGTACAAAAAACCCGTCTTAACATCACACGAGTATCCAGCACACAATCAGAAGAAAAAAAAATACCATAATTTTTTACGTGGAAAACCCTGAAGGGAAAAATCATAGGGCCACGCCCAGTTGAAATGATTCAAGCTAGTAGTGTTTGAATATATTTCGAGTGACTGATCCATCCTTAAAATCGAGGACGATCATATTACAAAAGTCAAATGTTATGTTAAAATCTAGCGACGAATTGAAATCAAATGAAAATTTGGCGACATTCGGTGGTTTGGCAGAAATACGTTGTTAGTTGGCGACCGGGAGGAAGTTCGACATCAGTCGGTGGCCAAGAAGAAATCCGGCGTCAGCAGGTGGCCAGGTAGAAGTCTGGCGTCAGTCGGTGGCCACCGACTGATGTGGACTTCTACCTGGCCAGGAGGAAATCCGGCATTAGTCGGTGGTCGGGCAGAATTTCAGTGTTAAACAGTGGCCTGGCAGAGATCCGACATTAATTCGACGACGGTTAGTGGTCCGACGGTGGTCGATGAGTAGTGTGGTGGAAGAGAACTTTAGTTTATCGTTCTATCTTCCTTCTCTTTATTCTCTTCCTTACTTGAGTCCCCTTCTATGAAGAATGAGCGATCTATTTATAGTTTTCTTAGATTAACATGATCGATAAATAGGAGGGAGATCAAGGGCAAGTTAGGAGTTGTTTGAATGGATGGTCGATTTTGATCCCCTTGATCGTGGATCATTTATTAGGTATTTGAATGGCTTAATGATATCAGAATTTGATGATTTTGGGTTCGTTGAATTTTTCTCATCGAGTCGCTCGATTCGACTATAAGCATGCCAGATTTAAAAATCATTTGGTCATCCAATTTAAGATTTGAACTTTTAAAATGCGCTTCGAGTCTTCGATTTGGACCTATTTGAGCTCAGATTGAGTTGAATTTGATGTTGCTGAGTTCATATTCTTGAGATGTTCAATTCAACTATAAGCTTACTAAAATTGGAGCTCGGATGGTCCCAAATTTAATTTTACTTGATTTTGCATCAAGATTCATGCCCGATATATCAAGATAACATTTTGAGGTTATATCAAAACAGAGAGAGAGAGAGAGAGAGAGAGAGAGAGAGAGAGAGAGAGAGACATCCTTGAATACCAATTGATGTTCCTCATTATTCTAATTAAGACATACATCATGATACATTAATAATCCATTCAAGAGGCAAACATCAGCATTAATCTAACATCTAAAATATCATATCTTTTAATAGATGTCATGATTCATTCAAACATCAAGAAATGGGTGGTCAAATATGTCACTGTCAAAGTCAGCAGATACTGGCTTATCAACCCCTTCTGAGTTTCTGAGCCAATAAGGCCTGCCAAAGGAAGCAGCACCTTGTGGAATTCCTTCCATCACCCTTTCATTGCCTTCTGGATAGTATATTCCAGTCCTTGGGTGGGGGATCCATGAAGGCTCTTCTGCTCTTTGTCCTTTGCCTTTGGTGTTCTTCTCACTTAGCTCATGATTTGCAAGATGTATGGCCCTTCTTCCATATTTCATCTCACTATACATAAAAATAGAATGTTTATAATGTGCATATACATTGTAAATACAAATATTTCGACTTGTATATGAGTAATTGTGAAATCTCTTAAATAAAATAATCTAAACTCTTAAACATCGAGGCGTCTTTTGGTGTAATGGTTGAAATTATATTTAAGAAACTCTGCAGTTAAACGTGCTCATCTCAGAGCAATTTCGGGATGGGTAATACTGGGAAATTACACCAGCATGACAAAACAGTGAGCCTCTTAGGCCAAAACGGATAATATCTCGATAGTTAAGAGTTTTGTATGTTACAAAAATAGCATACAATAGAGATTAGGGATGCAAACGAGTTGAGCCAAAGTCGAGCTGCATATGGCTTGAGCTTGAATTTGATTAATTAATTGAGCTCGAGTTAGGGCTCGAGATTCATTCTACGAGTTTGAATTAGCTCAGGAGTTGACTCAGTTATTATGAATTAAGAAGAGAAAACAATTATAATTAATTAAAATAACTAATTTAATAAAATTATAAAAAGAATGAGAAATTAAAAAAGAAATAAGAATATAAAGATCAGCATGCCATATAACTTTTTAAATATTTTAATAAATAGTAACTTAAACTTTAGAATGCTAATACATAGTTGAGTGTATCTGATATTAATATATTTTAAATGAGCCAGTTTGCGAGCTAATGAGTCCAATCAGGATTGGCTCAAACTTAGCTTGTTAGCTTATCGAACTTGGCTCATGAGTCATTTATCTTTATCATTCTGAGCCTAAATTGGCTCCGTTATTTGACTCTTATAATTAATGATAGTTATTTGAAAATGAACCAAACATTGTGAGCCATAACTTACTTGACTCTTACAATGAGAGTTTAGTTTAGTTTTTTTTTTGTTTTTTTTTTTTTTTCAGTTTAAAAATTTTATATTTTAAAACATGAAAAGCTTCATTGATGTAGCGGTTAGCTCTCCTTTCCTTCTATAATTAGCTTTCTCTATATTCGTTTGGCCACCAACCCTTTACCTTACAACCAGTCGTAGCAAGGCAGCATCTTTTTGCACTAAGAAAGGTCAGCTAACCTAATACCCAATATAAAAATATAATAATTTATTTTATCCAAAAAAAAAAAAAAAAGAATCAAAGACTATGGGTTTATTTGGGGAAAATTTATTAATGGCGGTGTTCCAACGCGTTTAGAGGCCAATCCGGACGCGTCACGTTGCCCAATGCACAGTGCATTGGGCAACGTGGTACTTGGATTGACCTCCGGACGCATTCGAACACCACACATAATAATCTCTCATATTTGGGAGAGCTTTTTCATTGTTTTGTTTTTCATATCATAATGCAGTTTCATTTAGTTACTACTTTCTTGTTGTTTTTTAGAAATAACTGTGATGATAAGCTATTTTTAACAACCAGAGTTGCCTTTAAAAACATAATTATTCACTTAAAATAAATATATATTTCTAAAATTCACAACATCTTAAAATATAAGTTGCATTTGGGACGGCTTTCTTGCTAATTCTAAAAGCAGCTTTCTAGTAAAAAATTAAAATTTTTGCACTAAAAAACTAATTTAATAAGCAATAAAAAAGCTATTCCAAACGAAACCATATTTTCCAACAAAAACTTTACAATCGCCTTTATAAACAAAGCTATGGCCTCAACTAAGCCCTAAGATTAAAAAAGCTTAAATATAAAAAGGTACGGGTAGGATTGTAAAGTTTGATTGCTATTGGCTACCATTTTTTGAAAAATTTTCCTTTATCAATCATCATCCATAAAGGCATATCTTTAGCATAAATGATAAGTTAGGACCAAAAAAAAAAATTCTATAATTTATACTGCAATTATGTTATTTTTTAGCATAAATGTACTAAAATTATCATGCAATGTCTTCAAATCAACATAGCCTAAATTAATGGCTCATATTCCATGCAAATAAAAAAATTACATTTTCACCCTGAATTTCAATACCTACATAAGAGATAATCACATCTTAAATCATAATGAACAAATAAATCATTTTAAAAATAAAATATTTTAAATTATAAAATTTTCACTCAAATATAAAAAAGGCAATTTAAATAATTAAAATAAATAGTCATTATAATATTACCCGAACAATGCCTTTGGTTTTGGAAGCTGCCTCCCCATTTTACTGAGGACCTTATGCTGCATATGATCAGTGATATGAATTATAATTCCATATTTATAGAACGGCCGGTCGCGTCTCGCTATGCCGCAGGCGCAGCTTAAGCTTCTCCGTTTGTGAAAAAATTGTCAAAATTTTCATCAATAATGGACTATTTTATTGGGTGGTAGGGCTTGATCAGGTTAGTATAGTTGATACTTCGTTGCAAGGGAACGAGTCTGAGAGATAGCGCGATACTCGGCGCAGTTACAAAGCCAGAGGACATCACAAGTAGATATAAGATAGTGTGAAAGGATTTTTTAGAGTATTCTTAAATTTTCAATATTTAAAAAAATATAAACAAAGATTTCAACATAAATAAATTTTAGAAAAGAATATTATACTACCGAGTTTAGTAGGATTAACTTTTAGGAATAATAATTATAAAATATGAAATTATTTATGATCTAAATTTTTATAATATCTCAACTTACCTTATTTGAGATTTATATATAAATTATGATTGAAAGCATTTTATTTTATTTTATCTAAAATATAATGAAATATTCATTACAATCATTAAAAAAAATTATACATTTGTCAGCTCATTATCAAAATGCGACTCGATGAATTAACCTCAAATGACAACGATTTTGATGGACAAACTTTTTATTGTTTTGTTTTTTAGGCCGTAACTGTTGTTCCGTTTGTTTACTGCTTTATTGTTGATTTTTCATTGTTTTTTAAAAACTATTGTCACGGAAAATATGGCTTTTACAATAAGAGTTAGGCTTCGTTTGGGACGGCTTTTTTATTGCTTTCTAAAACGAAGTTTTAGTACAAAAATAAAAAATTTGTAGTAAAACTCCGTTTTAGAAAGCAATAAAAAAGCCGTCTCAAATGATACCTTAATAATATGTGGTAACTTTATAGGTTTGTTTGAGATGACTATGATGTTTTATAAAGTTAATTGTGAAGTTGTTGTAGGAAAAATGACTTAACTATTCTGATTACTAGGCTTTATTTGGGTTGACTTTCTTGCTGCTTATTAAAGCAGCTTTTTAGTATAAAAATTTTAATTTTTGTACTAGAAAGTTAGTTTAAGAAGCAGCAAGAATGTCGTCCCAAATGAAGCCTAAATTTCAATTATAATTTTTTTTAAAAGCGATGAGAAAACATTAAAAAAAACAGTATTTAAATAAAATTTTAATTGTTGTCATCCTAAGAAAGAGTTGCTCAATTTTCTTAAAAAGAACATAATATTAAATCCGTAATATTTTTTTAAAAAAAATATTTTCCTTATAACAACTTGATGTTCATATTTATAAAATATTACAGGTGTTTTAAAATGACCCTTAATAATTTATTTATTTTTAAATAACACTAATGAAAAACCATTTTATATTAATAATGTTTTTTTAATAAAATACAAAATATTGATATCATGGCATAGCGTTGAAAATCATACTAAACTCCAAAATGCCCATTTTCTCTCATCAATTTTAACATTTTTCAAAAAAAAAAGAATAATAATTAAAAAATGAATAACTTTAACATAATTATCTTTATATTTTGTATGGTTTAAATAATTTCTCTGTGAATATCTTTTGGTTGGTCGGCCGGCAATTGACCATAGATAGGCCGTATTGAATCTCATTCTATTCTTCTATTATTATTTTGGCCATTTTCTTCTAAGCCAGAGGTATTTATGCTTTTGGATGTTCATATCAACCTTCAAGAATAACTTTCTCTCCCCTTGAAGAGCCCAAAGCTTGACACATAGTGGAACACTAGCATTTTTTTTAGACATTTGATGATTGCTTAGCCATTTTATATATATTCTCTTCCTTTCTTTCACATATATAAAGATTTATTTTAGATATTGATTTGTAGTAAATATAATCAATGATTTTGATTTGTTTAGAACTAGATAAGGCCGCGGAGATATATATAATGAAGGGATGGACTGTTGTTGAGATGAAAATAAAACCGTTATTAATAATTGGATTTTTTATAGTCGATTTGTTTCGAAGATGTGGAGTCAAAAGCAGTTAAATTTTGATAGAAATGGTTGCTAATCGATTGTTAAATGAGTTATACTGTATAGTATCATTGCTTTTGATGTGACCATGAAAAATAGGATTATTTACAAATGCAATTACAGAAATAGAGTTTAGTAACTGAAATTAAAAATTATTTTGAATTATTGTTGGAAGTTATCTTTGTTACTTTGGTGATTATGACTCAAATCATATATATGAGGAGAGTCTTATATTAGCTTATATTATATATTATATATATTTTATGTTATTTTTTATTTCAGGTTTAACAAGTACATTGACTTTACTAGTCAAAGTGGTGACATGGCATGCATCGTTGGCGGCATTTGAGGATGACAAGGCTATGGAAGAATTTTGGCCAGGGAAGGTTCAAGAAGAAGAAAGCTTCAAGAAAGCTATAGAAGTCAAAATAATCTTTCATATTCCAAAAATAGTTAATGATAGTGTTCTTCGTATTTTAAGAATGCTTAATGAGAGTGTTCTTTCGTATTCCAAGAATAGCTAATGTGAGTGATCTTTTCCAAGTGGAGTTACTATAATAAATTTTTCTAGAAACCTTGGAATAGTGTTTGTGCATGAATACAAAAGGAGTGAAAGAGAGGATGATGTAAGAAGAGGGTGAAAAGAGAGAGAGAGAGAGAGAGAAAGAGAGAGAGAGAGTGAAGGAGAAGAGTCATTAGCCGATTTATCCATTTAATCTTGTATTGTTGTATTCATTTTTGAAAAATATTTGTTTAAAGTTTTCATCAATTTTCTTTGGCACTAATAAAAATTTTGTTCTTTCCGTTGCATTTATCATTTGAGTAATAACTTTTCTTCCTCAAACATTTATCTCACTGCATGGGATTGGCTACAAGAATCATTTTTCTACAATGTGTCCTATTAAGAGTCAAATTCTCATTCAAATCTAATAAAAAATCATTTGTAATACCTTCTAACTAAATCTTTTTAGGCTTACATCTACCTTTATCTTAACATAGATAGGTTATAATATGTCGACTCTTCCAAAGAGGGTCATTGGATGACCAATGTTTGTGCGACCGAACCTTCTAAACAACAATTTCTAATCTTTTTTGTCACCGAAGCTACTCTAACCTCTTTGCCTATATACTCGTTCCTTATTTTGTCTCTAACTGTAAAATCATTCCTGGCCACCTGTTCATCTTCATCTCCGCATCACTAAATTTAAGTTTATGCTTCTCTTTTAATGACCAATGTTCTGCACAATAAAGCATTGCATCTCTCACCACCATAAAAAAAAGCAAGGATAATAAATTGATTTGTTTTCTTAATTATTTTAATAATTTCTTGATGTAAATATGTAGATTATATATGACAAATGATAATTCATAAAATATATATGAGGATTTGAAATCAAGAGGACAAATGTTATCCATGATTTTGATCTTTATCAATAATTAAATTATATAACTGTAAAATTTTCAAAGTCCAACCATGTTCTTAATATAATGGAAAGATCAAGTTGAAGAGATAGCTTGGCATATAGTTTGAAGAGATTTTTAATATTAATCATTTTTATTAAAATATTATCTGTATATATAAATCTAAGAGTCAGTATTCATTAAATATAAAAAGGGCCTAAAATTGATTAATGATAGAGACTGCCAACCAATAGAATAACATTTTTATACTTTGCATGCCTATAATCAAAATAAGGCATTGTTTGGTATTACTTTCAAACTGTTTTATGAACCAGCAAGAAAGTCATTCTTTGGGACGATTTTCTGACTGCTTCTTAAAGCAGTTGTTTAGTACAATAATTAAAAATTTTGAATTAAATAGCTGTTTTAAGAAGCAGTAAAGAAGCTGCCCCAAATGAAATTTTAATGTCTAAATGAGATGAATTTAACAAGCTTAAAACAACTAAATTTCAATTCATTAAGGAAACTAGATGTATCAAAAAAATCAAATGATCAAGGGAGAAATATTCATATCATGCAAATCCTTATTCAAAATTCTTATAGAAATAATTAGAATGACAATTTAAAAAAATTATAGATAGATCATAATTCTATAAATTTGAAGAGTTTTTTAGAGGCCATTTGAATTAGTGGCTTTTGGAAGAAGAGATGACAAAATTGTAATGGATGACGTTATTTAGAGTTTAAAATTTTATGTGAGTAAATAATTAAATTTATGCAATAAGTAAGTAAATTATAAATCCCACAATTTTAAAATATTATTATTTTTTCATAAGAGATCAAATTATGTATAATTTCTTACGAATCAGAGCATGCTCTCAGATCTCATATTTTAATTTACAAAACATAAATTCGGAACTAGCCGTTGCGCATTTTTGAACTTCCAACTTTCGCGCTCCAAATATAACAGTTACAGCCTCTCACAGAAAATAAAAAATAAAAAATCCCCACTTCATATCCTCCATCCAAATTCAAAATCCCATCGATCCGAGCAAAGAAGAAAAACATGAAAGGCTCGGCTGCAGATTTAGAGATGCTGAAGCTTAGATCGAGAGCAACAGAGCTCCTTCTGAAAGAGGACTGGAACGAATACATCAATCTCTACTCCCGCTTCATCTCCCGCTGCCATTTCCCCCAAACTTCACCAAACGACGACGACGACGACTCCACTAATCTCCGGCGAACTCTCTGCTCCGCGCTCTCCAACCGCGCCGAAGGCTACTCCAAGCTACGAGACCTCAGCGCAGCGCTAATTGACTGCGACCGCGCGCTCAAGCTTAATCCTTTCCATCTTAAGGCCCTCGTTTGCAAAGGGAAGGTCCTCCTTGACCTCCATTGTTACTCACAGGCTTTTGAATGCTTCCATCGTGCCAAGGCCCTTGCTTCAACTGACAGTGCCATCTCCCAGCTCTTAAAACGGTCGCAGAAGCTCGATTCCCAGTCTAAGACGGGCTTTATCGATCTTTCAGATTGGGTTCTTAACGAATTCAACGGCACATGCCCCGAGCTCGCCGAGTTCGTCGGCAATGTCGAGATACGCCGGTCGGAGGCCTGCGGCGGAAGAGGGCTTTTCGCCACAAGGAACATCGAGGCCGGTACGCCGCTCGTTATAACGAAAGCTGTCGTCTTGGGAAGAGGAATTATGCCAAAAGCCGCTGGTGATGAAACTGCTCGCTTGGTAATGTGGAAGGACTTCGTCGATAAAATCCTTGACGCCGTAAAAAAATGCAACAAAACGCGCGCCCTGCTCTATACATTATCTACAGGAGATGTTGAAGGCAGCGATCTCACAGTCCCAAAAATCGAACTTTTTAAGCCGGAATGCGCTGCGGATACAAAAAGATTTGAGCTTGATGTGGAGAGAATTCTCAAAGTGTTGGACGTGAACTGCCTGACTGAAGAATCGGTATCAGCTAAGGTAATGGGCAAGAAGAAGGGATGCTGCGGCGTGGGGCTTTGGTTTTTGCCGTCGTTTGTGAACCATTCTTGCTGCCCAAATGCTCGGCGGCTTCATGTCGGTGACAGTATGGTTCTGTACGCCTCAAGGGATGTGAAGGAAGGGGAAGAGATCACCTTTGCTTACTTCGATGTCCTGTGGCCTTTGCATGAGCGCAGGGAGATGGCGAAGAGATGGGGATTTCTCTGTAGCTGCAAAAGATGCAGTTTTGAAGAGGAGAAGGAGTTGGAGTTGGGAGAGCTAAATGGAATGGACGGAGTGGAAGATAAAGTGAGTAAGTGGGGCTTAAATGGAAAGGAGAAGGGGTACCTAAGGGCTTCGTTTTGGATGGGTTATTGCAATGAGTGGGAGAAGTTGAAAAGGAGGAGAGTGGAAAGGAGGATTACAGAGGAGATTGCGGTGGCTGGTAGCATTTTTGATGCAGTGGGAGGAGATGAAAGGGTTCTGAGAACTTTGTTGAAAAGGATGAAGAATGGCAGCGGGTTTGGTCATGGAGTTGAAACGGAGGAAATGGAGAAGTTGATGAGGATGGCCAGAGGGGTTTATGGGAGGGTCATGAAAAGACGAGCCATGAAAGCTTTCTTTGAGCTTGAATTGTCCAGCACAACCTCATGAATTTTTTTTTTATTACTACTGTTTTAGGGTTTAGTGAGTTTCATTAGAATCTTTCATTGCCAAGATCAAGGAGAACTAGTGCTGAGTTTCTTAGCTTGATTGATGGTAGTAGGATGCATCAATCAGTAATATCTGTTAGAGACAAATTATTTGCAAAATATCTGATGATAAATCATTCAAATAAGACTTTAGTATTTAAAATAAACACGACTCCTATTGCATATTATGAAAAAAATTACTATAAGATTTATTGGACTTCTTCACAGTTCAATAACACATATAGGTCATTCAAGCTCCAAGTATTTTGGCATTGTATAGTGCAAAGATCTAAGTGATGTTTTAGGTTCTTCAAGTTCTTAGTAGACTGTATGTATATAGAGGGACTGTGAGAAAAGCTTATTGCTCTAATTGCTACTAGTTCTTTGATGTTTTGATGGATGACTTGGACCTACAACATAATTATTAAACACATCTTAGCAGGGGCAAAAAATTCATAATACACATTGGAATTTAGTATAAAGTGCAAGCTTGCAATGTAATCTTTAGTTGGTCAAATAGCAAAGAAAGAATTTAATCCCTATTATGACATAGACTCTGTGTGGAAGTCTCTAAAAACTTCCACAATAACACACTTCCATCCTAAGCTTCTTGAATTCTTGATTAATTTGTGTGTAAAATATTTGGGTTGTTCTTCAGAGTGAATTGTGACATGCTAATTAATTTTGAGAGACTTCGAGCCTAGCAACTCTCATCTCGATTGTTATCAAAATCTTTCCCTACTCATCATGCTTTACATTGTTGATCTTTATCTCATCTCTATCTTCTCAATCCTTATCTTTGCCAAATTTGATTTCTCTTTCGATGATGATCCCCTAGTAACAATGGGCCACTGGTAGCGTCTCTCCGATTTTTTTTCAAAGATCTTCGATGATAGGTGAGATTAAAACTCTTTAAAATTTCTTTATCTCAACTAGAATATATTTTTCAAAGATTTTTAATGATAAACAATATTTTTTTGAATTATGGGGCTTAACTAAAATATCTATAAATTATTTCTTAAGAGGCTATTTGGATATCTATGTTTTGGGTGTAAAGCGAATACAAGAGTAATGACAACATTTCAAACTTAAAGTATTTTGAGAATGAATTTGAAATTCACCATTTGATTTAACTGAATTCTAAATATGCAATTTGTATAGAGTGATACTGGACCGATTAATACTATATTAGCTGCTTGCCACCAACTTTATGATCAGCTATCATTATCTTCAATGATCCACCACCTTCGGCAACCCCCCTCTTTCTTTCTCCCAAATCACAATAAAAAAAATGTTTCCGGTTATTTTTATCATTTGTGGCCGTTGGGGCCAAGAACATTAACATTGTATTAATTTTAGTTCAGATTAAATACAAAAATATAAACTTCAATATTTTTAGTGCACTCAATTAAACAATTCAAAAATACTTTCAATAGTGTATTTATTTTTTACTATATATTTTTTCTAGCAAAACAAATAACCCCTAAGATATTTTCAAAATTTTAGATTTTTTTATTCTTGCATTTTTATTTTGACCTATTAAATTTATTATTAAGGTTATTGATTTTTTTTGCATACGCCTTTGAATTCATGCCATGAAATCTTTAAAATTTAATTTTGTTAATTTTTTTTTAAATTACATATTTTAATGTATGTAATTAAAAATATTAAATTAAAATTCTAAAATCTTTGCCCATATATTATATATACGACTAAATCTGATCAGATATTGGCGGGACTCGGATTTGGATCTGAGTCCGATCCATGGACGGATAAGGACATAGGCTTAGGTGGAATTCAACGGATGAGCAGTCGACCGGCGCGCGGCGGCGAAGGGTTTACTGCCGGCGTTTTAGCCGTGTACCAGTAGCCTCACATGTGTCAGCAATCTGCTCCTCGATTCTCACTTCTCACTTCTCACCGAGTGACCGATCAGGCGCACCAACGGCCTCTTGGTCCCGCCGCGCACACAGAAACGCGGATTCAGAAGGCGCGATTTGGACTTTCTTCAAGATTTTCTTTTTCTTTTGTCTCTCATTTATTCATATTCAGACACAAACTACAGGAGAGATATATCGCTTCTTTGATTTGTGCCGATGAGAGGAGCCCAAGGAAGGCCGGTGCTTAGGGACCTAGAGAGGGCCAAGCTAGGGCTTCCTCTGGCTCTCTTCTTTTGCTTGCTCTTCTTCTTCGTCGGGTTCTTCGGATCCATGTTTGTCTCCCAGGTTTGAGGCGTTTCTCCATGCCCCATTTATGTTGCTCGACGCGGTAATCTTTGTCAGTTCACTGTTTAATGTGTTCGAAATAAAACAGGATTTTTTGAACTTTGGTCGTGTGCGTCGGGTGAGTTTGATGGAATTGAGCGAGGTGGACGTCGGTGCGGTGGAGCCAGCAACGCGTTACTGGGCGAGCAGAGAAGCCGAATCAGGGATTCCTTTTCAGGTCCTTTAGTTCTGGCAATCATGAAATTTTTGCAACCTTTTTTATCTTAAGGCATGGTCGAAAAACACAACCGTGGATTGAATTTTATGATGAGCATACATTATAGAAAGTAAAGATTATTCCATATCACCATGAAAGTGGTTATATACTTATATCTTTGGCTTCTCACAGTTGTAGTCGTGGTTGCACTTTAAAAATGCATCTTTTAGAAATGTGATTGTACTTTGTGCGAGTAGTTTTTTCCCGTTACTGCAATTCAAATGATGCCGATCATGATATTCATATCTCCCTATGCTTTTTGGTGAACTTGTTTTACCTTTTGTTTTAAAAAAAAAGCAGATTTTGAGCTGGAGACCTCGAGCAGTGTACTTTCCAAAGTTTGCAACACTAGAGCAATGCCTTAGCATAATAAAAAATTCAAGGTCAAAACTTTCACCATCGACTTTGGCTTTACGTGATGGGGAAACAGCTGAGAATACCAAAGGAATAAGAACAAGGTGAAATCTGTTGTCTATTCAGGAGGTATTCCTTAACTAGAATGCTTGTTGTTTTGAACTGTACCTCTTATTGCTTTAATTTCTTAAATATATCAATCTTAAGCATCTCAAATGTATTACTTGCATATAAGCCACATAGATTCATCCAGTACTTTGTATTGGAGATGTATTCTTAATTTTGTTACGTAAGAAAGCTTTGTATTGGACATTTAACTATCCACTTCAACATGCTTGATTCTCTCATAAGAAAATAGGGTAGCTAACAATGTAGATTGTTGATTAATTGTCACAATTAAGGATCACGGGCTAAGTTATGATGAAGCCAAGTTTTTTTATTAAAGTTGTGACCCATATTAGTTTGTAGGTAAAGTTTTTCATAACCTTGTATTCAGCTCTAACATTGAATTTGATGAGAACACTTTTTACTAATTTAACAAAGAAGGTTACCTTCCATAAAAATAAAATCTTGAAATAAACTTACGATCTTCAATTGATCAATCATAATTAACATTAGAATATATTCAATATTTAAATAATTGTGTTTCTAAAAAATCAGGTGATCTTCTGAAATTTTCTAGATATAATTGAAAATTTTTAAGTCAACATCTTAATGTTTTTTCTTTGGATTTTGTATATGCTGATTGCAGTCTTGCAGACTAACCAGATTGTCTGTAAAGGAAATATCAAATCAAGGGGCAGTAAGATCGATAATTTTACCAACTAAACACTTATAGAGCGAGGTATTGTTAATGATTTTATCGTCATTGGATATCTAAAAATTATTCAATGGGAGATTTAATAAGTTTGCACCCAAGAAGCTCAGTTTTCTTAGGCAGATTTGTGACATTTTTTCTTTAAGAGTGGAAAACACTCTTGTTATGAATAAACTCAATATGAAAATAGTATTTTGAGCACCCCAAATTTTTTGTAATAAACTTTTGAAGACATTATTTTATATCTTCATTAACAGAAACATCTTATCTAGAAAGAAGAAAGTCATCAATATACATACAAGCAGTTATTTGGTAGATGAAAGATTGATTGGTTTTTTTTTTGTCTTATGACTTCATTTAGAAGTCTGAAAGAGTGATTAGTTGAGCTGCTTCGCAGAACAATATCAACAAGGACTTTGTAGAGTTTATCAGATTTTGTTTCAACTGTCATATTACATTTCAATGCTTATAGATTTTATTCTCATATGAGCAATATACTCCAGAGGTTGCTTTATCATCTTAAGATAGTTCTCCATAGAGGAAAATCTTAAAAAAAAAATCTATTTGGAGTAAAAACTATTCTTGATTAATGACCTTAAAGTGGAGGCAAGTAGACTTAAATCTGTCAGGAAGAGAAAAAATCTCAAAGCAGTCAATGCTATGAACCTATGTAACTAGGTCCCAAAGTCAAGAACTATATTTTTCTTGAATAGGAGTTGGGGTTACTAGGTCCCAGATGTGATGATCAAGAAGAAACATGGTTTAAAATTGAGCAATATGAGGCTCGCCTTTGCGCAATTCCAGTAAAAAACGCATGAATGTTAAGTTTTTTTTTTTTTGGTAAGCAATTGAGAAATGTTTGGTACAATGTCATAATAGATGAGATGACATGAGGTGCATCAAAGGGAGGTCGAGGAGGGTTACAAGTATAAACTTGTAGTGAAGGAGTAGATACCAAGACAGTAGGCGGAAGTTAGTGATACAACAGGGCTGGACAAGGCAATAAAGGAGGTTAAGGGGGTTGGGCCCAACATGGAATTAATATATTATATTAGGAGGAACTCATTTAGAAAAACCTTTCCTAATGAAATCTTTTTCTAATTGAATTATTTTCAAATTATGGAGGGAGATATATTAGGAAGGGGGTTGAATTATGAAATCCTAGGCAGCCTATTTAAGTTCATAGTAGGATTTATTTTATTCTTATGCAGAACTTTGGCTTGAGTGCTGTAGCTTTCTTTTGTGAGGGATTCTAGCAGCGTCTTGGGAGAGAAGGTCCTCCTCTCGAAAGGGATCAATTGTATCTTGCTTATTGTTTTTTGATTTCCTAGCCATAAAATTATATTATTTTTCTGAAATTCACTGTTGTTAACTGATTTTTGCGATTCAAAACGTATTAGTTAGATGTGGCTGTGGATGAGGCATGAGGTCGTAGGGAGATGCCTCATGAAAGTCAATGCCAGTGGAGACATAAAATTGGTGTGTTAATGGATCATTACACTAATAACTTTTTTGAGTATGTTAATAACCCAAAAAGATATACTCAATTGCATAACGGAAGAGTTCGTAATGTCTTGGACAAAGATTAGATGAAAGAAATATAGTCATGAACTTGATGAGTCAGGCAAAACACACGGGAGTGGATAAAGCAGTGAAATGGTAACAACCCCACTTAGAAGAATCACAGACACATGATTGATCAATTAGTAGGTTGTTAGATTCACATCTCCCTAAAACTATCATGGAACATTTATTTGAAACATTAAGGTATGGCAACATGGAAGACATGCTAATGTTAATGCACCTGATCTTCAGCAGTAGCCCTTATATGAAAGAACTATTTCATTAAATCATTATGCCAGGCTATATTATTTGTCTCAAAAGATTTGTCTATCATCATGTCCAATTATTTCATTATTGTCTGCAGTCCTGTAACTATTTCCATATGCGCTTTTATTAAGGACTCCTAAAAACTGATCCTATGCTTTATTTGTATAGGCGAGAATAGATGTTCAAATAAGGTTCTTTGTGTATGCTATTTTTACATCACATTAGTCTAATAAATGGATTATAATTGAAATTTGTGAAGAACAATAGATGAAAATCTTAGAAGATCAAAAGGAATTTCCTAAACAATCCCTACAATCAATTTCCCTCCTAAAATCCATTCAAAAACCTTCCAAAAACCGGCCGCAAGGCGTGCGTCACGCGCGGCTTCCGCCCAGGTGGAAGCAGTCTCCGCCGTTTTGCGGTTTTGTCCGTGAACCGATCCCGCCTGGACTGGCTGGACCGGTCTAACAGTAAGCCCCTTATAAAATGGATAAGTTTCTTTGGCATACAAATATTATAGAGGCTTGAAGGGAAGATTTTATAAATGGTAATCATTTTCAGTTTCTTTCTATGCTTTTGAGTGTTGGCAACAAAGAATTCATCGACCACCAAGTTGAGTGTGACAAAACTGAGAATGCTGAGATGAATATGTTATAAAATTAGAAAGAATAAAATTTATGCGTGGCTATCATGTTTCTTCCTAAAGATTTTTCTATCATCAAGTCCTGTTTATTCATTATTTCCATGCCTTTATATGAGATTGCCTTAGTTAGCACTAGTTCTATATGAGCTGTTATTCAAGGCCTTAGGGAAGCTAATATCTGTAATGGTTCAGCTTTTGTTACTGAATCAAATTTCCATTAATCAGAGGGCATTATTCTTTCAATCAGTTATGAAATGAACATGGATCTTTGGCTCAATATTTTCCTTGATGAATGTTTTTTTTTTTTTGTTTCTGCTGATAGTACTGGTGCATTCATCAGTAAGTCAGATGATTCATCTGGCACGTTGAATGAACTTGAAGAGAAAATAGCAAGGGTTACGATGATTCCGAGAAGTCAAGGAGAGGTAGTTTATGCATTTCAATCTAAACTTGCTGGATGAAACTTTGCTTTATTTCATGTAAAATTTAGTAATTTCTATAATGCTTTTTGATTCTACTTATGTATGTTCCCCCACTTTGTAATATTGAGTAATTTCTATAATGCTTTTTTATTCTACTTATGTATGTTCCCCCACTTTGCAGCCCGTGTGTGTGCACGCAAATGAGGTTGAATGAATTTTATAACCTGATACTTTATCTTCTTTTTTGTTTTCTAATTCTCTGCTGCAATAATTCTTAAAGATGCACTTTGTTTTCCATTCTGTTTGTTATTTCCTGTTTTAGTTTTAAAAGTTGAGAGTTACTAGAAACGAAACATATTCGAGTACCTTTTCTGTTTTGGTATTTGCATTCACAATTGTTATGTTTTTCTAAAAATTTCTGTATTTTTTGCATCCTTTGAGCTAACAATTAAGAGGATTAAATGCTGGGAAAACATGCTTAATCTTTTAAGGAATTAGCAAAAAATGATTCCAAAGCACATTATCCTATCTCATTTAATGTTCCTGTTCATTTTCAAATGAATAACTAAATTTCTTTGTGTTTATAAGCATACTTTGAATATAAAGAAAGAGTGCTACCATGGACTTAAAATTAGCAACATAGACATAGGATTTTTTTAATTTAAATCAGCATGCACTATGTTTTCTCTGCAGTCAATACTTTTTTTTTGTAATTCTAGCATGATCAGTGCTGCATCCTCTCTGCTCTATATGCTATTTTCAATGTCTGTTTGTATCTTATTAGTCAAAAAGTGTAAAATGGATTTCCATCAGAATGGTTCTCTTTCTTCAATTTTTTTTGTTGAAAATTATGCTTCACTTTCATGTCTGATGCTGCACGAATCTGTTTTTGAATTTACTTTCTCTTTTGAGTTTTGGCATGCTCATGTTTCCTGTTACTTGGAAAGTTTGGAAGATCATCAAGGAATTTTTATATCTTCATGTTGCAGGACTTCTACATTCTCCGTTACCAGATTGGGCAGAGGTATGCTTCTCATTATGATGCATTCAGCCCAGCTGAATATGGCCCTCAGAAAAGCCAAAGGGTACAAAATTAACTGCAATTTTAATCTCCTATTATCTGAAGTAATGCAGTTTTAATTACTTGAAATTGCTCATGTTGCAATGAGTTGGCTTGGCTTGCTTCAGAAAATATTTGCTCGAAAAAAAATCTAGGATTTGAGTCATTTGGCCTTCTGTTTATGAATTGCAATATCCTTTCAATAGCGTTTGATTCATGTCCCTCTTACTGGGGATGGATTGATGAGGGCTCAGTTGGGCTAAGGCTTCGTTTGGGACGGCTTTCTTACTGCTTCTTAAAGCAGCTTTCTAGAATAAAAATTAAAATTTTTGTACTAAAAAACTGCTTTAAGAAGCAGTAAGAAAGTCGTCCCAAAGAAATCCTTAGTATACTAGTGAAAGCTTTGACCCAATAGGATATGACCACCACTTTTTCGTGAGAACTTAGTTGCTTGCATAGTGAGCATGTATGACTTAACAAAGCTTAATTGAATGGATAAAAGGTAACTGCTAGCATATAAGCACCTTAATTCAAAGTTTTTGATATTTGACTGTATATTTAGTTCTCTGATTCTCTAATATCTTTAGAGAGAAACTAACAAAAAGAACCAGAGAATGAATTAGAATAAAAATACCAGCAATTTTAAAATTAGGGCTAGTTTTGGATTTTTTTATATAAATTATTCAGTAAATATAATTTTCAAGAAGAAAAGAATCAAAATGGTTCATTAACTCCTTATGAAGGCTCAAAATGATCGACTTTCAATACTAGAATAGACTCATCTGATCACAATTTCGAAATTTGCGTGCTTTTTAGTGGTAAGATTTTCAAGCAACAGTTAAGAATTAGACAATTTGATGAGAAAAATAATTAAATGTGAAGAATGATAAAAAAAATGTAGGGGTATTTGCAGGGACCAAATTAGCAAGGGTAACAACGATTAATTTTTTCATTTTCAAAAAGAATGAATTAGAAAAATTTGATGTAATAATATTTTTATGGTTAAGTGAGAAGACTCCAGGTGAATGGTCGAGATCATTTTTTAACTTTATTATCTAAATGAGATATTTTACTCAATAACGTATATGATATTTTAATTTATTCATTCTTGATGCTAAAAAATTGCCTATTGTGTCAATGCTGGAAAGTATTAAAGTTATTGTAATGGCAAAAAACATAATATTTTGTTGGAGAATAAGAAGAAGATATTTAAATGAAATGAAAAGTTTTGCACTAGGATTATGGTGATTCTTAGAAATAATATGTATAAAATAGGTGCTTATATTGATTATAAATCTAATGACAACAACTACAAAGTAAGTATTATGGATGGAGCCCAATATAAGGCTGGCTTCGCCACAATCGATTGGAGATTGTAAGTAACAGGTACTTACATCTAGATATTGGAGATTGTAGTGGAGTCCAGTGACTCCGCCACAATCAATTTGATAGGAAATACTTGAGTTCACAAGTAACCCTAAGATAATATTTGAGTTCGCAAGCAAACCTAGTCGAAATTAGCCCAAAACAAGTGAGAAAACTGCTGTCCCAGTAGAAAAACAGCAACCTTGCAGCAGGTATCGTACCCAACAGTGGAAAATAGGGAAAGAAAACAGAGTTTTCACTAGAAGATGCAAGAAAACAAAGAAAGATACAATGTTCTTCGATTCGAAAGGAAGAACAACTCTCCACAAGTCTCTAGCAAACCCTAGAGCCCAGCACACGATGAGATCTCAAACTTTCATTCAAATTCAAGATGAGATCCCAATTACCTCCTGCGCTCCTAATTAAAAACAAAGGACAATTACAAACTTCCTAAAACAGCCCCCCACATTCAAATTTTCCCTCCTAAGTTGAATTAAACCAAGCATGGCCCACCTAGGGCTTCCCCCCCCCCACCCTTTCTCTCTCTATTTTTCGATGCCCCTGTGGGGCCCGCCGCGTGTACACATGGACCGGTCCCTCCTGAGCCGATGGCATATCACAATTACAGGAGCTTCTTGATTTCTCCTGCAGCTGTTCTGGACAACAGCCATCGATTTCCTATAGCAGAAATCCACCCGATCAGCAGCTGGTGGACAGTTTTGTCTTCCTGTTTCTTTCTTGCATTTCCCAGTCATACAAAGAAACTTAACAGCAGCTGGTGGGTTTTCCTCAGGGATTTGATAGGAAATACTTGAATATTTCAAGTAACCCTAACAAGAATAGAAAAAAACAGCAATAGAATCACATAAAATACACTGAAAAACTCTCCAAATTGTAATTGGATTGCAAAAGGGAGAACTAACAGAAACAATGAAAACAAAGATACAATTGATCCTCAATTCGAGAGGAGGGTCGTCTCTCCCAATCTCTAGATGAGTCTAGAGCCCAAGAGATCAAGAATAACCCTCACAAGAATACAATAATCAAAACATAATCCTAACCCTAATCTTCCTTCTATACTTAAGGCATACAATTAAATCAATAAGACAAAAAGACTTGCCCTTGCTGCCCCCTTCTTTGGCTCCAAATTTGAATTTGAAATCAAGTGGACCCCACCCCATCTCTCTCTCTCTCTCCCTCTTGCTGCCGCCCCTCCTGCTGTAAACGTGAACTGGCCCCTTAGAAGTGGCCGATCTAACAGGGTTGTCCATTGGAAGAATGAACTAAGCAGTGTCTTAATCCCAGCATAAATTCCTTTAGTTCTTGGAATTCTTGTTCATCTCCATCCCAATAGATGACCATTCCAGCAAATTCTGAAATACAGTGGGTTGCTTAAAAATTTCAGCATGTTTTGACAATTGCGGCAGCCCTTGGAATGTGAACCTGGAAGGTTCCTGCAAACAACGGTGGTGCTGAAACTGCTAAAATCTGAGAGTTTACAGGAGTTTTCCATGGCCCAAATATTCATTTATTGGTGTAGAATCTTCACACTTGCACGAGTATCCATTGGGAAGCAACTATTACAAAATCTTGTAGTTCTTTTTCCTTTCTATGTTTTCAGACATCAGCAAGTAGCTTTGTGGAGTTACATGTAGTTTTCTAATTATGTAAGGGCCTAGTCATTGGTTCTTTTACCTCCCATTGGTGTCACAGTTCAAGTATATTAGTAAAAAAAATCGTATCATACTTTTTTTTTTTTTTTTGCTTCTTGCACTTTGTCTTGTAATGTACATACGTTCCATAGTAAATTATGATTGTGTTTCTAGCCGAATCGGATAGCAAATTTTGGATCTGGTAACTAATCCTCTCTACTAATATCTCTTCTTCAATATTTCCTCGTAATTTTAATTAACTTTTGTTGTCAGATTGCTACATTTTTAATTTATTTATCAGATGTTGAGGAAGGAGGGGAAACTATGTTTCCTTACGAGGTAAGCGTGAAAAAACATATATTTGTTATTTAATGATCGTCTTCAATGTATTACGATTCATGTAGGGAAATCTTTATCTGCAGAATGGCTCTAATATGGATATTGAGTATGATTACTTCAAATGCATTGGTTTGACAGTGAAGCCTAGCAGAGGAGACGGGCTTTTATTTTATTCTGTATTTACAAACGGCACAATTGATCTGGTATAACTTCAAACTATTTTTCTTTTGATCTTGTTGTACTTAACAATTAACAAAAAATCCTTTTCATAAAAATTATTTATATATTCAAATATAAATTTCATTACTTCTTTCTAAATGAATATATATATCATGGAGGGCTTATTTGCTAAATCTTTTGGCTGCATTAGTTTGTTAGTTTTTTTTTATGTAAAGTTTGATATGTTCTACTCACTAGACATTGAGTAAGAAGCATATAGACTGTCAAATGTGCTCTTTTCTATTGGTACATCTTATTCTCCAGAGATTTCGCTGCGTTAGGTTTTTATTTTACCGAAGTATAAATGTTCTTCTCAGCTGACGTTGAGTGGGAAGCATATTGAATTTGAAATGCTTTCTTTTCTCTTGGTACAACATTTATCCTCCATAGATCTGATGCATCTTGAAAGTAAAAAACAACAAAATGGATAGAGAAAAAATTAGAAAATCTTCTTAAATAATTAATTTTTTTTAAACAGCATAAACACAATTAGTAAAGCTTTTTAAATAATTAAAACCTTCCTAAACAATATAAACACAATCATGAAATCTTAACCTCCTCTTGATTCCTCCTCATTTCATAATGCATAATAACTCCCCTGGGCTCACAAGGGGGCCGAAATCTCGCCCTTTGCTGCCCCTGGTTCCGCCCAATCAAAGGGCTGATTCGGCCAGGGCTAGGCTAGTCGGCTGGGCTGGCCTAGGCAGGTTTGGCTGGGTTGGTCTGGGCCGGCCAGGTGGCCCCCCCTTGGCATATCAAGATCTCAAACTTTGATGTCATTGTGGAAATTTTGCTTATTATTGATTAGTTCATACGCTAACGAACCAAAACATCTGTCATGATGTGGGCAATCTGGAGATTCCTTATTGTAAAATGTTATGTACCTAGTTCATACAATAATCTTCCTCTTGAATGATTCACTATTTCACAATTTAGCTACATGATCATTCCTCGGCATTCCCATTTGGCTTATCACATATTCTTACTATTAATAGGCAGGTTTGACGAGAGAAAGTGACGCAGGAGTGTAGAGTCTATTCTCAGAATTGTAGTTTTGTTGCTTCATAATTGATCTTCTTTTCCTGTTGATTATTGTTACGATCCTGTCAAGTCCTCCTTTTTTGCAGGTATTGTTATAATGTCTGATTTTGTAACTCTAACGTGCGGGTTCTGTTCAATTTCTTGGGAGGGTTGTAAAATTTTGCTTGGTGGCATCTTGTAGATTTCTATTTTCATGAACTTGTGGATCCAACTTCTATTCATGGGAAAAGCCAATTTCCTGATTTTTAGATAAGCTAATTTCCTAATGTTAGATAATGTTTAAATATGAATTTGATGATTATTTGAAATCAGATTGGATCCAACTGGTGCCAAACATTTCTATTAATCTAGAGATGAGAAGGCATTATATACAGAGATCAAGGCGTGTAATTAAAGGTTTTAAATTGAATAAATTTTTTCTTCGCATTTTTAATCTTATTTGTCCATGCTGAACGTGTAATTTCTTCAAGTGTGGTACAAGTGTGATTGCTTAATTCTTGGGGAAGTCCTTGTATTGTTAACTTCATTCTTTGATCTAATTTCTTATATAGCATATTAGCATATTATTGACTTGCCAGTGCTTTTGATTTTATTCAAATATGACAACTTGAATATTAATTGTGGTGATTAAATTACAATTGCTTGTTGATTTTGTGTGGTTCAAAATTTTTGTTGATTTCTATTGTTAAATTATCATTTGTGTACATCACGTCATTCCTGTAGCCATTTTTTGATCATTGCTAAATTACAACTTGAATATTAATTGTGGTGATTAAATTACAATTGCTTGTTGATTTTGTGTGGTTCAAAATTTTTGTTGATTTCTATTGTTAAATTATCATTTGTGTACATCACGTCATTCCTGTAGCCATTTTTTGATCATCAAGTCTATCGGTGAGAATGCCTACCAAATTAATTTTTCAAGGAATATGAGTACTTCGACCACCTTTAATGATCTTTCACCTTATTATGAACAAGGAGAACCAAACATCATAGATGATTCTCCTCATAGTGGGGGAAAATGCCACAGTGACAAGTTGCTTTTAGCCTTCGAGGTCCTTTTCATAATTAGTACAAGGCTGTTTTTCTTTTCCTTTCTTCATAAGGGTTGTTTAGTTATTTAGTTTCTTAGAGGTTAGGAGGGAGAATAGTCTATTTATGCCCACCCTTTAGTGAGAAATGGGAAATTTTTGGGAGTTTGTTTCCAGGTTATCCTAAAGTTTGGGAGACCCTGTTTGGGGCAGATTTCCCAAAATTTAGAGGAAGTTGGGAAGGAAATGAGATCGTGGTGGAGGCCAGGACTGCTACAATCAGTCACAAAGAGGTTCTATTCCTTCTCCACAGTGGTTTTGTAATTCTAGCAACGGGGAGTCTTTTCTTGGCTTTAGCAGCAGGGTTAAAAGGTTTCTTGGTGACTGCCCAAGGAACCTACTGCATCTTACATGGAAGAAAGAGGTCCATCAATTTGCTTCGCGGTGTCTTGCTTATTTTCTGCCGGGATAAGGGACTTACAGCAGGCTTGTTCCACAAGATGTAATAGCCACTGGACCTTTCCTTGTTATTCCCTGGATGGAAAACTTGAAGGATGGCAAGAACAACGAACAAAAAGGTTAGATTTGCAAGATAATTAGAAACAGTAGCAGTTCATGAAGGCTTGAGGTTCTTGAGAGGAAGCGGCAGCTGTGAGAGGTTTCCAGACACTTGTTTGGAACAGGAATGTCGCAAGCATTTATCATAGCTGCTGGAAATCTTCTTACCTGTTTGTATTCAGAGGAAGGACTCCATGGCTGCTGTTGGAGCTTTTCCAAGCAAGTTGTTCCGGGTTGTCTTCCACAAGATAGCTTGTTGAAGGTATCAAAGAAGACCAATTGCTTGAGAACAGATGTAGGATGAACCTATCATCCAATTTCTAGTGCCGGACTTCAATTACAGTTGGGAATTCTTGGGAAAGCAAAGTTCTTTAAGTTGTCTTATTGGTAATAGGCTTTTATAATCGTTTCTTCACTTTTCTATGGTGTCATTTAGTTCCATAAGAATATTAGGGATGCTTTACTCTTGTAAATGCACACTTTTTAGTTTCTTTCCACTGTCTTTCGATGTCAAGTTGAGTCCTTTTATGCATTTATCATTATATGTACATAGAAGAGAATAAATGGATCTCATTTTGAAGCATATACATCGTCAAAACATAAATGCCGACCACGCTCATATATGAAAAAAATGGAAATCCAATTGAACCTTGAAATCATCATTTATATCAATAATAGGAGAACTATCAATGTTTGCAAAATGAGCTCTCATTCTATTTTTAGATAATCCTGAATGTAGGTGTTTTTCGAGGAGAACAACTCAAAATTGAGTTTCAATTCAAATTTTTATCTATATATTTTTTATGTGGTTTTATTTGTTAAAAATGATTGCTCGTTTCTCATCATCATCATAGAAGTCTACAATAAAGGCTAGCCCAAAAGTTGTGTGGTGGTTGATCATTAATGTTAGGGGTTGACAAGATATGATAATAGATGAATTTTTCCTTATAGATGTACATTTACTCTTCTTTTTTAGATCATCCCACAAGTAACCCCTCATACTTGTATTAACTTCTATATATGTGTTAGGATCTTGAGAAAAGTTCTGAGGGGGTTTTTTTGTCTATATTTGTAGCATGTTTGTCATCTCCCATGGATATCTTATGTTTGTGTGCATGTAGTTTTCCTATTTTGAATGGTGCTTCAACACAAACCTTATTTTCATTTTCTAATCATCTATTGCAATTTTCACATCATTTTTTCTATTTAGTCTTTTTAGGAAATAGATTGCTGAAGAGCAAGCCAAACTTAGGTTTGTTTGGGATGGCTTTCTTACTGCATTTTAAAACAGCTTTGTAGTATAAAAATTTTAATTTTTAAACTAGAAAACTGCTTTAAGAAGCAATAAAAAAGTCGTCCCAAACGAAGCCTTAGATTAGGCACTTAGTTCCCTAGCAAAAAAAAGTATCCTTGATGACATAGTCTTCGTTTGATACAGCTTTTTTACTACTTCATGAAGCAGCTTTTTAGTATAAAAATAATGTTTTTGTACTAAAAAGCTGCTTCAAGAAGCTGTAAAAAAGCCGTCCCACATGAAGCCATGGTCTAATCTTTATGTCCAAATAAGTTATGGGGCATCTGCTAAAAGTTATGACTCGAAACTTGTGAGATTTCTAGTAGTCTTTTTTTTTTTGTTCCCTTATATTTTGGTCTTTCCTTCTTTATGCAGACATCACTTCATGGAAGTTGCCCAGTCATCAAAGGGGAAAAATGGGTAGCAACAAAGTGGCTGAGAGATCAAACTGAATAAGAGGTCTTCGTGGATGCATCAACAGGGAATCAATACTTCATAAAATTTTACATTAGAGAAGCTATGTTAAGAACTTGTTTAAGATTTTCTCATAAGGCCCCATTTGATTCTTGTTTTTTTTTCTTTCTCCTGTAGTAATGTACATATACTGTACTATATATAGTTCAAATAAAATCCAGTTTTGTTTTAGGAGTGATCGCAATCCCTGATTGAGGTTGTTTGGCAATTACTTTGGCATGGAAGTGCTTTTAAATCCTTATAACTGCTAAAAATGATATTTTTGTAGCCTTTGAGTGAATTTTTTTTGTTCTAATTTCTAAATTTGGGTTTGGTGAATTCAATCAACCATAGTACTTTGGCATGGAAGTACTAATCCTTTTTTATTTCAAGGATGTTTAATTTGCACATAGATAGCACTTGTAAGTTAAGAAGGTTGAACTGTTAACCCTCTCCAGTGCTAGGTTTTTTTTCCTTGCCATGGCTGCTCCTATATATATTCATAATAGGGAAATTTACAAACATACCACTTTATTTCATGCTATTTATATATCTCTAACATCAAAAATATTAATATTACATGTCTGTCACTCATATGCAACTTTGATATCAAATATATCACTCATATAATTCATTTCTACCATTCATACCATCTTATAAACTTTAATATTTCATTCAATACACCTAAATTTGTTCTATGGGTGGTAGTCATGTAATATTAATATTTTGAGTTTTTATTTTTATTTATTTATTTTATTATTTTGACGGTTAGATATGTAAATACCATGAAATAAAATGGTATGTATGTAAAACCCCCTTCATAATGTTACTGGCCGATAAGGAATATTTTAATATTTTAAATTATTTATATTTTTGCTGAAATTTTAGAGACTATCTTCTTGTTCATTATTTATTTAATTATTTAATAAATATGTCAAAATTTTCAACTATATTTAATGTATTTGATTTGGGCTCATAATTGATTTTATTTCAATTATAAATTTATTGAATTGTAAAATAGAAAAAAGTTAATAGTGTAATTTAAAAAAATTGTAATATAAATAATATATCGAGTTTCATTGAGATTAAATGATTTTTTTTAAAGCATATTAAATTCTAATAATTAGGGCTGCAAATGAACCGAGCCGAGCCGAGCCGAGTATGTGAGTGTTCATGTTTGTGTTCATTTAATATCAGCTTGTTCAAGTTTGGTTCATGTTTGTTCGAGCTTTATTGTTTGTGTTTATGTTTGGTTCATTTAAATTTATGAGCGTTCATGTTCGGTTCATGTTCATTTCATGTTCGTTCGTTTAGTACTTATCGAGCTTGTTCGCGAACATATTTAACGAAATGTTTTTTAACTATCAAATAAACACGTTCATGAACATATCTATAAACAAACATATTTATAATAAAAGCAATTGTCTATGTAACAAAGGCAATGATTATTTATATTTATTAATTTTATAGTCAAATATTAATTATTTTTATCGAGCTTATTCACGAGTTTAAAATCGAACACGAATCGAGCTTTTATCTAGCATAATGTCGAGCTTGTTCACGAGCTTCAAATGATGTTGTTCCCGAACATAAATGAGTTGAACGCATTAGTGTTCAAGTTTGTTTATTTAAGAATCGAGTATTTAAAATATTGTTCAAATTTATTTGTTTAGTTAATTAAACGATCATAAACGAGCTTTAATCGAATCGAACAACGAGTAGCTCGTCGAACATTTGGTTCGCTTGAAGCCCTACTAATAATGAATATTTATTAGACTTACCTAGCTGCTTATGGGGCCCACCCTCCTGCCTTCCCCCAAGCCTAGTCCACCCACCCTGGCGGCATGCCTATAGCGTGCATTTTCCAATCTGACTGTTAATTGTATTGACTGATGACCCGACACTCAAAAATCCTCTTTTGACTGGTAATCTGTAATCAATTAAGCTCCACCTTCTTCTTCTTCTAAAGCTCCTACCTTTACCTCATTTCCTCCCAATTTCTACTCTCTCTCTCTCATGGCTCTCCATCCTCTCCTCTCTCTCCTTCTCCTCATCGCCGCCGAATCCTCTTTTGACTGGTAATCTGTAATCAATTAAGCTCCACCTTCTTCTTCTTCTAAAGCTCCTACCTTTACCTCATTTCCTCCCAATTTCTACTCTCTCTCTCTCATGGCTCTCCATCCTCTCCTCTCTCTCCTTCTCGTCATCGCCGCCGTTACATCTCCTTCCCTCGCCACCAACTCTGAAGGTATTCTCTTTACAGCAACCAAACTCATTAATCCATTCGCCTCTCTCTCTCTCTCTCTCTCTCTCTCTCTCTTATCCTCTTGTCTTTGCCATCAAACAGGGGAAGCGCTGCACTCTTTCAGAACCCATCTCTCCGATCCCACCAACGTTCTACAGAGCTGGGACCCAACTCTCGTCAACCCCTGCACTTGGTTCCATGTCACTTGCGACAATCAAAATCGCGTAATACGACTGTAAGTACCGTTCTTTCTCTACCTCTTCTTCTTCTTCTTCTTCTGCTCTATTCAAGCCATAAAAATCTCATCTTTGGAGGTTTAATGCAGTGACTTGGGAAATTCCAACATCTCCGGCCCGCTAGGTCCCGAGCTCGGCCGCCTCAAGCATCTCCGGTACCTGTAAGTGCGATTTTTCCGATCAAAAGTTTATCTTTTTTGTTTGATTCTGGTTTTTACCTTGAAAATTTGAAGCTTTGGTACTGGGAAATTGCAGAGAGCTTTACAGGAACAACTTTGATGGAAAGATTCCAGAGGTGTTGGGGAATTTAGAGAACTTGGTTAGTTTGGATTTGTTCGGAAACAGACTCGAGGGCGAGATCCCTAAATCCTTTGCCAAGCTGAAGAAACTTCGGTTTTTGTAAGCAAATCAGCCATTTTTATACTTTCTAAATCTTCGTTAATTGCTTTTTACAGTTAAATCTGATGAAAATTTGCCCTTTTTTTGCTAAATCTGAAGGAGATTAAATAATAACAGACTGACTGGTTCAATTCCAAAAGAGCTTACCACTCTTCCGAATCTCATTGTCTTGTAAGAAAGAAACTGTTTGGATTAATTGAATACGTTATATCTATCTTTTTTTAAATATTGGAAATAATTTATGAACTGTTATTTCACAGTGATGTTTCTAACAATGATCTCTGCGGAACCATTCCAATTGATGGACCTTTTGCACATTTCCCTCTCCAAAGGTACGGATTCATCAAATTTTAATGGAAAAAAATAATTATAATACCACCCACAGATGCTTCGCTCGGTTCATGGGCGTGCTCGTTTGGGAACCCCCCATCCCGAGTTTGATTCCCTCCAGCGGCAATCGGCCCTTAAGTGGGGGCTGCAAAGCGCCAGCTATGATTTGGTGGCCTAGGTGGCCCATTTGGTTGACCGGGGCTTACGGACCGCCAAGCGCGCTCGACGAAGTCAGGTGTGGCAGCGGACGGTTCCTTGTCAAAAAAAAAAAAAAAAAAAAAAAAACTATAATATCCACCGATGTTCATTTTGGTTGGTGAGCGAGTACAGTTAGGAACCTCGGTCCCCAATCAGCGTTCGATTCCCCTCGAGCGGCAGCGCCTCTTAAATGGGGTCCCAATAAATACGGGCCATGAGATTATGTAGGAGTGGGTGTTTCTTCTAGGTTAACCGAGAGATTAGTTACGTCGCCAAACGCCTCACAAGCTGAGCTGACAGGAGTAGATAGCCCGTTTCAAAATAATAATAATAATAATAATAATAATAATAATAAACAAAATATTCCAATTCCTTATATGGACATATTGATATTTTCAGTTTAGTATGGAGAAACATTTTTATTGTTTAATTTGTGAAATAAAGGTGCTCACTTCATTTTTAGTTAAGGGTTGTTATACTTTTTCATGTAGAGAACTGGCAGAGCTTCTTTTACAACTCGTGAGTTGTTTATTCTCTTATTGCTGATTGAATGAGACAAATGTGGTACAAATAGGATGTTTTATGTTGCAAGACAATGAACATTTAGCAAGTTGAAATATTTGTGGGTGGTTGTAAGGGCAGATTTGAGAGAGAGAGAGAGAGAGAGAGAGAAGGGTTACTATTAGTACATTAAAAATTCAACTATTGCTTTCATATTAGGATTAGCCATCATTTTCTTATGTATCTTAGGGCGAATTATTACGTCCGGTGACCGGACCGTCCGGACACCAATCCAGACGCACCATGTTGCCCGGATACACTGGGGCCCGGGTGTATCTGGGTGTCGTGGCGCATCTGGATTGGTGTCTGGACGAATCCGGACACCGGACGTAATAATTTTTCGTATCTTAGGCCTCATTTGTGATAACTTTTGTAGTACTTTGTTTTTCAGGCTGCATTCATCATTTTTGTTTGGTCACCGTTTTTTCACTGCTTTCAACAAATTTTTGTGTTAGGAAGCTGTTTTTTACAAGAGCTTTTAAAGAAATTGAATTCTTTACGACAACTTTATAACCACTTTTATAAAAAACTGTAGCCATTCCAAGCAGACCATTTGTAATCTCCTTCTCATACAAGTTCCATTTGCATTAACTATCAGAAAAAACAAAACAAATATGTCGGGTCATTGAGGCCAAACATATTGCTTTGAAATACAATAACAACAACATCAAATCTTTATCCCACTATGTTGGGATAATTCTTTGAAATAGATAACCATAAAACCATATGTTAATGTCTCATGAAGACTGCAAAGTCAAAGATTTGGACATACCCTTTTGATTTGGGATTTTACAATTTAAGGTAAGTTTTTCTTCCTTAAGAAATTTCTTGTAAAAACCTTATACAACAATAAGATCATTACATAGCAATTAGATCTTTAGGTTGCAATACATAATGAACATTTCATTTTCTTAAGAAATTTAGGTTTGTGGGTGAACACCATCTATCCAAAAGCTTGAGTAGTTAGGGTCACTTTTAGTATGTTAAGAATTCAACATTGCATTCAATTTGAGATTAGTTTCGCTTTCAGATTTATTTTTATAATCTTCCTCACGAAAAATTATTACGTATGGTCATCGGATTGTTAAGATGTGAATCAAGATGTGCCACATCATCCGGTAAACAGCAAAATGTTGATGTGGCGCATCCTGATTCGCCTCCGGATGACGTCCAATGACAGCACGTAATAATTTCTCCTCCCTCTCATTAGAGTCCTCTATATTGATCATAACTTCCTTCCAGTTCGAAGCTGTTAAACATCATCAAATATTATGCATCAAGATCTTATTTAATAGTGTAAAGTTTGTGTTCGCTCTTGCATTTGCAATAAAAATAATGGATTCTACATAAATGAACCACATCCTTAAGCATGCAATGGAGACAACTGAATAATCTCTGTGTGTTTCTATCTCTTCTCAGCTACGAGAACAACAAGAAGATCAATGGACCTGAGTTGCAAGGACTTGCCCCCTATGATTTCGGATGCTGAAGAAATTTTAATTTGAAGCTCTGAATTATGGATTAAGACTTCATATCTATTGGGAAAATTTTCTACTGTTATGTTTGTTTTATAAAATCTATTTATTAGCTGCATGCAAATGTGATAGATATTTTGAAAAAAAGATAAGAGTTTTATGGTATTTTGTGTTGATGAGGAAAATCTTAGGCTTCATCTAGGTTATAGCTTTTTAAAATAGCTTTCTAATATTTCTAATTCAAAAAAATTTTTAAACTAAAAAGCTACTTAGAAAGCATTAAAAAAAGCTGTCCCAAACGAATGGGACAATGGAATATGAAATATTATTGTATCTCTATTAGCTATTTAACTCATTGGTACTATGGAATGCATTAATGAAATGGGTAGAAATAAAATTTTCATTTATATATTGACTGCACTGAAAATAGAATTTCAATGATTTAGTAGCGATTGGATGGTCAAAATTAATTTTTTTTTTCTCCAAAAATCATACTTAATTTTGTAAAAAAATAAAGATAATCAATCTAAGATAAAGCTGCTCTATGTCCATCTGCTTTTTTCTCTCCTCTTTGTTATGAAGTCATTTTTGCTGCTTAAAATTTGTTTATAAAACTAATTATTTAATTAGATATCAATATTATTTTTTAAATTTCATATATATATATATACAATTGTGTTAAAAATTTGAAAATAAATTTAGCGGAAAATAAACATTTTCTAGTTAGAATGAGATAAAAAATAATACTTTTAAAATATGAAATATGGTTCATGTGCTAAATAGTTTCGACAAAATTATAAACTCTTGTAAAAATGCATAAATTATTAAATCCACTATTAAAAATTTTGGACTCTTAAAAAACCTCATTCTAAAAAAACAATTTAATTTCATGCAAGCACTGTCATCAACCAAATACAAATTAATTGGAGAAAAAAAAAATTCACCAAATTTTTGTCTAAAAATTCTTTATATTATAATATTTGAAAAATAGATCAACCTTTTAAAATCAATTTAAACCAAATCAAGCAAATACAAATCAAATTCTTTGAGCCTCAATTCTCTAAAAAAAAGAAAAAGAAAAAAAAAACTATTTAACACTTCTAATTATTCGAAGTAAAATCAACATTTAAATTATTAAATTTACATTGACATGAGAAAAAAAATCAAATTTATATCACATTTATTTAAAAAAATGCAATAAATTTTAAATTTATTATGATTAAAATTTAATTGAATATTTTGAGTTTTTTTTTTTTAAATGAACGTTTCATTTGAGACAATTTTTTTACTGATTTCTAAAATCATTTTTTGATACAAAATTTTATACAAGTTGCTTTACAAAACAGTAATAAAGCTGTCTCAAATCAAATCGAACCGAAATATGAATGAAGCACAACATAGAATGAGAGAGACCCAATTAAAGCAAAGTAAGATCTCAATTAGAATACAATGTTTTCCAAATTAGGTATGCCCAAACTACAAATAAATATGAAATGAACAGACTCGATAGAACCACAAATATAATAAGGTGGTATAAAGAAACTTATTGACTCAACTCCCAACTCCATTATTAGTTGCGCATCCTACAATTCTCAGCAGCTCTTACCTGAAGGAAATAGGGGTGTGCCTGCAATTTATATGGTATAATCTATGAAAAATGTTTCTGGAAGAACAATAAATGATGATTGTAGCAAGAAGAAAGCCAAGTTTTTATTTTAACACCCGCATGAGTTAAAATAAGTAAGAGGACTACACAAAAATATAATGGTATTGCTCTTTTTTTAGGATTCGTTTGGGGAGAAATTATTCTGTGCAGAGACCGGACGCAAAACGTCATTTGGAGACCAACCAAAATGCGCCACATCAGCGGTACCGAGCCGTGGTACCAAGCGGTACCGAGCAAATGGGTGACATGGTGCATTCCGGTTGGTCTGCAGACCGCTTCAGCATCCGTACAGAATCATTTCTCTCATTTGGGATGCTTTTTATTGCTTTTTAAAATAGCTTTTTAGTTAAAAATTAAAATTTTTATACTATAATGCTTCTTAAAATAGCTTTTTAGTTAAATAAGTAAAAGGAATTAGCAGTTGTTTGTTGTATCATTGGATATCTTAGTGGACAACTAGCTGTAATTTGTTCTATTCAACTACTTATTCTCTTCATAATAAGCATTATGGTGACGCTAATTAAGTCGAGTGATCTACTACTAACAGATGCCAATGGTTCATAAGGTACACAATTTTTATTACCAATGCTCAATGTTGATAATAAGACTTATGTGGACTTTTTGATCTCTGATCTATCCTTCTCTAAGGAGAACAACTGAATTAACCATTAATAATCTCTTGAAGATAACTTTAATGCCTCAGGCTCAAAGCTTATTCAACTTCTATCATGGAAGCTATCATCCACAATTCATACCTACTATATTATATCAATGTCCTTATCGGATGCGACAATAGGCAATCTTTATTACTTAGGAGATATAGTGAAATCATTTCAATTGATTTAGACCTCATAATTTTTCTCCTTTATGGATTTCCTATAAGGTACTCTCAATTGCGAGGTCTAGATCAATTGAAATCATTACGATGAAGATCTCACAAAAATAAAAAATCTTGTATCTCCATTAGTTTTATAACGGGTGGAGGGTGCGTGTATTGATGCAACATGGCTTTTATTGTTTTGTGAAACCAATTCTCGATTTCCAATTATATAGTTTGCAATATTTTTGTATAAGTTCTAATTCTAGTATTGATTGTTTACCTTTTAAAGACCGTTGTTAAATTAATTGGTGGCTTGTGAATTATAAACCTAAAGTTCCTTTGTATAGGGTTTGTGATCTTAGGTGATTTTTAAAGTGGATCAAGAATTTAATTTTTTTTTTAATATTATCATTTATTTGATTTCACAAAAATCTTTGTTCAAATAAAATTAATGGGGCAGACGAGATTGTTTTAATGAAATATAGTCCTCCTCTCGTATTGAGGATCAATTGTATCTTTGTTTCGTTCTTGCTTCGCTTTGATTTCTATAAAATTATCTACTGATTTTGATTGCTTCCACCCAAATTCTTCTATTTTTCTCGCTGATTTTACCAAATATTGTTAGGTTTGCTTGCGAACTCAAGTATTCCCATTAGGATTGCGAACTCAAATATTTCCTATCAGAATCTTGTATGGTTGAAGTTGATTCAATTGGAAAAATAGTAGTTCACGAATATTCATCTTACTACGAGGTACATGTAAATATAGCAACTCATTCTCATAGCTTTCCTCTAATATAAACAGGAGGTACAGGAAATTTTAATCTTCTGATAATGTTACTGCACGTTTAACTCCAAAAAGTTCCCTTGACAAACCCTTGAGAAATGGAATGCAAGGAAAGCATGATCATTTAAAATTTTGCAACAAATTGAAACTAGCTTCTTTAATTTTAAAATTTTAGAAAACTCTGCATTCATCCAATTTTCAACTTCTTATTTGACCTTCTTTCATGAGCCAACTGTTAATTCCATGGATTCTTCTCTTTTTTCCACTTCTTCCTTGTGAGTCTTCTCTTTTCCACTATCAGATATTACAATTTGCTCAAGAAATTTTGGATGATTATGGATTCCAGTGACAACTATTGTATTGATTGACATATTATTTTATACTACTACTACTACAACAACAAACCTTCATCCCACTAAGTGGGTTCAACTACATGAATCATTTTTCTCCATTATATTCTATTGAGAGTTAGATTCTCATTTACATCTAATAAAAAAATGTCGTTTCTAATACTTTCTAACCAAATCTTTTTAGGTCTATCTCTACCTTTCTTAACATATGCCAAATCTAATAGATCTACTCTCCAAAACTGGGTCAGTGGAAGGCTGACATTTTATGTGGCCAAACCATCTAAAGGCAACTCTCTCTAATCTTATCTATCATTGGAGCTACTCCAACCTTTTCACATATATATTTGTTTCACATTTTGTCTCTAAGAGTGAAGCCACTCATCCACCTAAGCATCCTCATCTCTGTAACATTAAATTTTATGCTTTTCTTTTGATGGAAAATATTTTACATCATAAAATATTGCAGGTCTCACTACAATCTTATAGAATTTTCCCTTAAGTTTGAGAATACTTTTCTGTCACACAACAGGTCCAATCCATTCCTCCATTTCAACCATCCATCTATTTCACCATCACTTGAAAAATAGACCTGAGATATTTAAAACGTGTACTTTTTTTAAAAAATTAAATTCATAGGAATCACACAATTTATATTCAGATTTACTCTGAATATTAAAGAGTTAAATTCATTGACAAGCCATGCAGATTGATGCAAAACTGAATTGCTTGGGGTGTTCTTGTTTGGATTTGTCCTGGTAGCTATTTGTTGATAGTGAATGGCGGTGGTGTTTGTGTTTTATTTGGATGGATATCTTGATGATCATATGATATTGACAACAATAAAACTATTTAAAATACATTTTAGAGAAGAAAAATAAATTACCATTGCTTCTCGTGCCGTTAGCCTATCCTGATGATCATATCGAAGAAGCTTGTCAAGAAAATCTATGGCCTGAATGACAAAATTTAAACCTTAAAGAACTAATGGAAGTAGATCATTAAATACAAAAAAAAAAAATGGAGATATTGGTCTCCTTTCCAATGGAACTGTTCCAAAGTGTAGAGAATATAACCTCAGGAGAAACAAGATGCTCGTTCTCAGAATTTATAAACTTTGACCATGGCTTCCTGCTGTGTCTGCGATCAGCATGCAAAAAAACAAACATAAGCATCTCAAACTATGCATGTCAAATGATAACAAGATAAGCTAGTGCATCAAGAGAAAAAAATTGTGCCTGCATTTCCTGATAAAGTACCTTCCAACCATAGCTTCTAGTTGAGGATCAAGTTCCAATTTATATTTGTTCAAATAAGCATTTAATTCATCTGTTCCAAGAACCTTGAAAAAAAAAGAGAAGGTATTAGCACTAATAATCTGCAATAGGTCAAGCAGTCATGTAAACTCTTAAAGTTAACAAGCAAATTAGAAAAATCCTCCCTCTCCGTAGTTTGGTAAAATTTGGTTTATATTTCTTAATGTATGGATTCTTGCTTTATTTCATTTGTTCGACGAATAAATTCATGCAATTTTATATCAATTGTAAAGTTTAGTTTGAGCCAGTAAGCTATTTGAAAAATCAAGTTAATTATATTTATTAATCATAAACTTTAACTGGAACTAAGGCAAAGGATTAAGTCTTCTAATTGAGCGACCGGTTGCATAAATTTGATGAATGATTTGAATTTCATTGGTAAAGTGGGCATTATGCTGAGGCTACAAAATGCTGCAACAATAGAGGCCGTGGTGGATGCAACATTGAAAACTAAGATGGAAGAGAGGCCCATGATGGCACAACCACAGAGGCTAATAATTGGATTCTACAATAATGTTTGTGGCATCTACAAAAGCAATAGAGGTCACAATCATAAACAATAATATTTGGTGTGAAGATACAAATGAATGTTGCACACTTGTATTGTAGTGATATATGATAGGATCTTGTTGGGATAGAGATAGAGTTTTCATTATAGGTGTATTAAAGTATTCATGTCATGATTATTCAATAAGTTTTACGCTGGCTATCGACTACCTAACGCAGCCCTCCATTTTTCTCATTCAGGACTTGGGACCTATCAATGACAGTCTTAGTTTTTGTTATAGGTGTGAAGATACAAAATTATATTATTATATGTACTTTTATTGGAAGAGTTGTACACGTCCATTAGTTCCTTTTTTGGTTATAGTGATGTATGAAGAATTCTGCAACTTGAGTTCCCTTTTTGATTTTAAGTTTTCTTTAGATTCTTTGCATGGATCTTGCAATCCTGGCAAGCACATAGGGTTTGGTCCATCATCTACTTTATCAAACATTGTGGTGCTCAAAGCCAATTGAGGGTAGATCACCAGAAAGGTAAACATAATTCCTATCTTAGTGGTGCTGATGCAGAAGTGCGATAAATGCAAATTTAAGAGTCCTCTCAAAGCCATGAACCTTTGGTCTGGAACAGGGAGGTTATAAGTTGGTGGAGCCATTATAGTTGATTGATAATGCTAAAAACTGGAGGGTCAACAAAGAAGTTTTAGATGAGCTGATGTAATCCTTTGGGTGAGGGGAAACTGATGTAAAACTACTAGGAGTTACGTTCAAAATTAAAAAAAGAATTGTTAAAGTTTGCTTTTATAATGAGGGGAAACCCTCGTAGCTGAAGGTGTCAAATGGAGAATGCAGAAGGTCAAGGGTATGCAGAAACACTCTCAATATAGAGATTGTTAAGATTTGACTTAAATTTCTTTAGATATGTCTATTTTAGGTAAAATACTTACTGGATCTTGCTTCTATTAGGTTGGGTGAGACAAGTTAATTCATATGCCAACCCCAAATAATTATGATAAAGCTTGTTGATGGTGAAAATCAAGTGAAGTTTGCCTGATTCTAGAACTTGCCTGATGGATAATAAATTTAGATAGTAAGGTCAATAAATTGGCATTGTAATTTTTAATTGTAAGGCTTACTTAATAGAAAAGTAAACTGAGTGAATAAGCAAATCCTATAATTGAGGGCGAGGTTCTATAAATAACATGAAGGTTCTAGATTTCATAGTTTAAGCATAGAGATTGGTGAAACCAGACAGGCAAGGACAATGGCGGTTGATCACAATGGTAGAGGTTCCCTAGCAATGCGAAGGTTTTCATAGCATGAATGTGAAATATATAGTAAAAAGAAGTCTACACAGTGGGTGTATACACTGCTGACAGTGGAGGTCACATTAAATGGAAAAAGAAATATATGAAACTATTACAATGTGACATGCTGGATAAGGTCTACATGTGAATTCTGGCTTCAATATGGAATCCGATGTTGAATTTTCTAGTAAATCTCACTCAATATAACAGTTGTTGTGCATGTCCCATAAATGTATTTATTAGATGTTGAACTACATAAACTTATGTTTGTTTTTGTTGGATGTCTTTACTCTTCAGTTTTTGTATTGATCTTCTGTGATGATTTAGAAGCTTGCAACTAGATGTATGCTTCCAAAAGAGTATAAGATAAACTACTAGCATATAAAAAAATGTCAGTAAAAAAGGATGATTACAGAAATTGATTTTTTTTTTCCTGATGACGGAAGGAATTTTCACCTTGCTTCTGTTTTATAGCTAACCATAAAAAGGGTTTTGTGGTTAACAAAATCACTAATATCTAATGCCTTCAGGTCAAAATGAATAAGGATATCAGAAATATAGGTTCAGCAATATACCTATATGTAAATCTAGTTAAAAATGAAAGAAAGAAGATGTCCAAAAGTACAACGAAGAAAGCTTCATCTTGAAATTGGTTGCTACCTTAGCAATTTTGACAAGCTGGTCATGATTGTCATGTCCATAGAAAAATGGATCCTTGTGAAATATCTGCAAGCAAACAGTAGAAAATTGCCTCACTAACTTGTAGTGGAGAAATCCTTCACAAGCCATAAAATAAACAACATAAGAGTGAGCATCTTTAAATTAAATTGGTTACAAACCGAAATGTCACTCACCATTGAAGCAAACATGCAACCAAGGCTCCACAAGTCCAGCGAGTAGTCGTAATCTTGCAAATCAACAAGGAGTTCAGGTCCCTTAAAATATCTATACAAAAGGGAACTTTTTCAATTACCAGATTAGATTAATCTAGTTAGAATGCGGTGCTCAACTCATCTCAAGCTTGAAACAACCGAAACCTGAACTCGCTTTTGACCTCTGTACGTATTCCACGGTTGATAAGCACGATGAAAATGACAGTGTACAAACACACTATTGCGCAAAAATATTCAAACATTTTCCATTTATGATAATCTCAGTTTTATGTTGTTGACAAATATTTATGGATGAGAAAAATGACTGAAATAGATGAGACAAAGGAGAGAGCTGTGGACCTCCGAAGGAGCACCGCTCGCGGGGGTTCGAATGCAGAGGGTACGGCCGCACTATCCCATAGGACAAAACGATCGTAGGCCTTTACGCTCGACACGAACGGGTCGATGGGAGGGAAGATTGGATCATGCATACGACTAACCATTGGGGATAGATGCTGTCGCCAGCACACCCCGATGGGTAGCAATATACACGACCTAGTCACGGGTTTCCCCCACCCGATACGAGAGATCGAGTGGGGTAAAATAGATTGCGGGGCCAAGTTTCCCACGGGCGCAAGCCCCCCGTGGTTAATTACATCCCGGGCCGGAGCCCGAGAAGACTCTCGATTAAGGATCATACATTATCTTTTCCAAATTGGAATTAGCACGATGGTATAGACTAGGAAATCCTACTCAAAGGAAAGAAAGGTCTCAAAAAGGCTCAGTCAACATGCGTGGCTCATACCAGCATCTGGAGGCTCTAGGGCACTAAAGAGAAACTGAATAAAGCATGCTCCTATTGGATCCATGGCTCTCGGCCAATGATTGGCAATGATTGAGATGGCGGCTCAATCATTGGCGGGACCCACGCGGCTACTTAAATGAGTCAGCACGCGTAATCACCGTCCGATCTTCCGCCATCCAAACGGATGGCTAAGATCGAGCCGGACGGGAATCCATCCATCAAAGCGGGATCTCTTGGCTGGACCGACTGCAGAAGGACAGGATCTGGGCCGTCAATCCAGAGATCAATGGCCAAGATTTCACACAGTTCAAAAGAGATAAACCAAAACCCTAAAACGTTTTTTGCTTCGTTCTCTCAAAATACACGACGAAATTCAACGAAATTTTAAACTTAGAATCTACATATGTACAGAAATCTTGGGGGAAAATATGTTTGGACAATAATCAGCTTTTTGAAAAGCTATTTTATCCTAAGCATTGTGACCTATTCTAAGGGATTTCGAGAGATCTAACCGTCCGATTTTTGCGTTCTTGGGCTCGTTGGATTCGTTGAAACGTCAGGAGTATTTCTTCAGTTAACGTCGAGCTCCGATTCTCCCTCGATCGAACGAAAATCAGTCTGGAAGGGACGTGGGGTCTTGGTCTCGCCGGGATTTCGCCGCCGGCGACTCGAGGAGGTCGGGATTTGGTTGGAGAAGGTGAGGGAAAGATGTTAGATTGCTCTCCCCAAATCTCAGAGCCTAGGGAGGTCTCTAAGTCGAGCAAGAGCAAAAAGATCCAAAAATAACCTAATTTTCTTCTATTTAAACCCCCTAACCTATCTTGAACGGCCTAGATCTAATCACCAGCTATTTTGGGAGGGAAATAGAGCTAGGAGGCCGTGGTTTTGATTTCAAAACGAAGGGATTTGATTAGAGCATTGAATGGGCATTTAATAGGGATTTAAATGAGTCTTAATGGGTCGATTTGACCCATTATGACTTGGATTGACCAAGTTATGTGTTGACTTGGTCAACTCAGTCAAATGGGTCCAATGGGTATGAGGTTTGAGCCATTAATGAGTTGGAATTTGATTTGGACTCAAAAGGGGCTTAATGGGTCAATTTTGACCCATTAAGACTCGGGTTGACCAAGTCAAAGGTTGACTTGGTCAACTCAATCTATCATGCCCATGTCTGGGCAAAATCGAGGTCAACAAGAGCAATTTGTATGAAAATGACTCAAATGAACACCCCCTCAATGATGATAGTGCAAATTATTTCTGGGTTATTGCCATACTATTTCAGCTTTCTTTAGGAATTAATATAGATGAGTATGCAAACGGGCTTGATGTTATATGATACTGTTATATAATTCTTATATTTTATGTTGTTTTGCTCTTGTGGCGTTTGGATTTCAATTATATTTCATGAAATTTATCATTTGTCACTTTACATCTTGTATATTTTTTGTTTTATATTTATGTCAATTTGCTACTTTATAGTTCAATTGAAAGTTAATATGTCATCATTTAACATATTATTTGATTATTAAATAAAAAAAATACTTTTAACCTTTATTTTTACTTCAAGTAATATTTTAATTTTGAAGCTTACACATCGGCTCACAGACAAAAAACATCTCAATATCCAATTACGTAATTTTAAACCTTGAAACATATGACATCGATTCACCTAAGATGTCAAATTTATCCAAGATGAACTACTCGCACGCAACTCAAACGAACAAAGGTGAAAAATGTTCTACGGATGCAACGTCATGCAAAATCATTCAAACGACCTCCATTTGTGAAACAGACATTATGTTTTAAACGATTAAATTATCCCCTACATTTGCTTCGAGCAAACGTGATTGAAAATGCTAAACTATGAGTGTGACGCTTTGCAAAGTCCTGAATGTCCTTCATTTGCAAAACGAACTATGCTGACGTGTTCGCAATGTGAAATTACCTAGAGGACATCCATATTTTGTGTTATCGCACAAGTTGAAATGCATATATATATATATATATATATATATAGTGTGTGTGTGTGTGTGAGTGTGTGAAGACTAGTGCTCAAGAAAAAATATATGTTCATTTTTGGATGTTTAATAATAATAATTAATATTATTAATAAAATAAAATAATCAAAATCTAACATCGTATCTATCAAATAAATCATATAAATCCCGTTGAAATCCCTTGCAAATCCCACTACCGGAACTGCTTTGCATCTCCTCGTGGGATTTCTGCTCAGCTCACCTCGACAATCTCTCTAGATTTGTCGTTAAAACGAGAGGGGAACAAACCTCATTCGTTTCTCTATTTTCCCTGCACGACGAACCTCCTCCAGCCACTCGATTTTGTCGACCCAAATGCACACCACAAAACTTTAGCCAATCGCAACTCCTGCTGTCGAATCCTCCACACCCGATCTCCAAACCTCCAGCCGATCTCCATAGTCGAGCAGCCCAGAACAAAGCCCGACTATGCCGAACACATCTCCCAACCACAAAACGCTTTCAACCCCTTTAATGAGTGTCGATCTCCCACACATATAGCCGAACACCCGCCGACAACATCAAGTTCACAAGGCTTACACCGAAGCCAACACCCCAAACACCCCTCTGCTCTAACACTTCTACCCATCGACCTTGCTCCCGTCCTCTTTAGCCACTTCACCCTTCTATCCTCACACTCGATCCATCTCCACTCCTTGGGCCGAAAACTTCCACCCAGCCAAAATACCCGGACTCTAGATTTATGACCGAGCTAGTCCAACACTTCCATTCCCAACATCTACCCCATCCAATCCCTGAAGCATGAATCAAACCTTCCAGCCAATGCCTGACCCCGCCGAACTAATTTGTTCTATCAAAGACTTCAGCAGCCTGGCCAATCCAACTCCAACACCTTACCCCTCTGATTAACCTTCAGTCGGCCTCCACTCCACTGGAACAACCTCGATTTCTAGCCTCTTTTTGCTTGTTGTCCGAACTCCAGACCTCACTGTGCCAACTCCTCCAATGAGGCTCCAATTGAATCTCTATTCCTATCTGAACCACAGCAAGCCCCAACACCCACTTCTTATCCTCTCTTCTACTATTCAACAGATTTCTCCACTCAAATAGCCCACCAATCAATCCATTTCACTGCCAACAGCTCCTTTACACGTAAACAGTAGCCCAAGCCCACCTACAACTCACAACAACCCCTCTAACAGCCCACCTGCTGAATTCCTTCAGCCCAAACAGCTTCGTCACACCTGAATCCAACCCAAAAACAGCCCTTACATAGCTCAAGCCACTTCACAGCCCATTATACACTTCATCCTCTTAAACAGAGAGACAAATCCCTCCTTAAGCTCTCCCTTTCCCTTTCCATTTGTATTATTATTATTATTATTATTAGTTTATAAGAAGAAAAGAAAAAAAAAAAGAGAAGAAAAGGTTCTTTGCTTTTGTGCCTCGATCTTTATGCCTTTGACATTGGCATCGCAGACCTCCTTTCGCCAAGGTAAAATGCCTCTTAACCTCAAAAAGCCTCAAAACCCCGCTTTTGGCCCTCGCGGCGCGTTAGGGGACCACCCTACATGCTCTCATAGCGTGGAGGGAAGGAACTCGGTGCGACGCTTGCTGAAATGCGGGCAGGTCTTTAACCGTTCTCGTACCATGACGAGGACAATCTTTAAGTACCCGTATATAAGATACAGTGTCTACGAGAAAAATTGCAAGTCTTTTACACAGGTACCTCGAATACCCCTACACTCTCTCGTAGCGTGGTGGGATTGAAGACCACGGCCGCGTTGTCACCCGACACCTACCGTATGTGCTCTCGTAGCATGGTAGGTAAGATCGAGCTCTGAAAATTCCTCGAAATGGGGGAGACGCCGGGAGGCTGCCGAAATTTGAAATGACAGAGGACCAGGACTTGAACAAATTACAAGGAACTAGACCTAAATGCATACTTGAATTAAAAATGTAGTCAAATGAAAATTTACAATATGAAGATATAACTTGATTCAAATGGAACATAAATGAGTAAATAGGGGACCTGTAATGAATTAGCTCGAAATTGAACACTAGCAGAGGACTTGTAATAAACATGAAGCTCGCTAACGAGCAAGAGACTTGCAACGTGCACAATAGTCCACCTACAGACGGTTACAAGGAATAAACAATAAATGTGACAATTCACCAACGGGTGTGTATAAGAGAATTGCAATGAAATATATAATCCGCCTATGAACATGAATAGTGGACTTGCGGTGGACAAAACTCTAAATACAACTTGCTCGCAAGCAAAGATCAAATAAAAAATATAATAACGTGCTTACAATCAATAACATGAAGTTTCCAATAAATGTTGACAACCATCACGCCAATTGGAATGCAAATATCAACAAGCAACATTGTCAAGTACATTATGCATGCTGCAGATCACCTTCAAGGATTACAAAGAACCTGTAATATACATGACAGAGCATGGAAACAATAGACATGCGATAAATACCATGGCATCCCTTCAATCAATGTCAGCCAACTTGAGAATAAACATGGCAACTCCTTATAAACCTTGAAAGTAAACATATGATGAGCATAGTAAGTTACCGACGAACGTATGTGGGGAAATTTGCAATGAACGCGACTTAACCAACAATTATTATCAACTTACCAAAGAACACATAAATTCATGTGTAAGCAATGATAATAGATATGATGCAAAAGGATTGCGACAAGTGCAAGTATCCACAAGCAAATGAAGGAGACTCAGCATACATACAATAGTCCATCTATGGGTGATGACGAACAATGTGCAATAGATGCTTGATCATCCTTACAGTCAACAATAAAAAATTGTCAGACAAATACATCAATCTACCTGTATAAAGCAACAAATGACATCCAACATAACACTACAATTCACTTGTAAGCAGTAGGGAATGCATAGTAAACACTTCAAGCCATTGGTAAACTAAGGTAGCAAATTTGCAAAATCAGGTCGTCACATTAGATACCAACTTACTTGCAAACGACATGTAGGAGACCCCTAACGCACCCCACAACTTGTTTACATGCTGAAGTATATTCCCACGAGCTAAATACTGAAGGAAAAGACAACATGCTGAAGTATATTCCCACGAGCTAAATACTGAAGGAAAAGACAACATGCAGAATATGGAGTGATGTAAGCAAAAAAATAGGGAGACCCTAATTTTTGCAAGCAAAAGAAAAACAATTCCTAGGATATACAAAAGACTCCACTTAAAACAAAATATAACTTTATAACATATAAAAAAGGACACTTACAAACTTATAATAAAAACTACTAAAGTTGCATTCTTTCGTCGAGAAGAAAGATACAGATGGGGTGGTCACTTGCGGCGAGAAGAAAGAGGTAGGAAGCCAAGACGAAGTGGAGGACAAGATCGCAAGCTTTCCCAAGAAGGAGAGGAAGAAATGGAACAAGCTCGCAAGCTTTTCCAAGAAAAACCCTGAGATTTTCATTTCCAAAGTTAGCACACAACACTCTCTCTTTATTCTCAAAACATCTAATATATATAGGATAAAAAGGGCAGCTAAACAGTCCATAAAACAATTCCAAATAAACCAATCAGGTAAGGGAAATGAAAGGCCATAAATCAATCCAGAAACAACACCCAAAAAGCCACATAAAAGACCGAAAAAGGCAGCCAAGGGAACCAACCAGAACAGCAGCCAGGGGAACTGGGACGAATAGCCAGGGGCACCGGAATTCATTTGCACAACTGATAATCACAAAATACTCCCCCCCTCCCCTCCCACACACACACGCACATTGAAATGTGCAATGATGCGCTTATATTATGCATATATATGTTATAATACACAAAATGCATCATGCAAATGCATTCACTCGCATGGGCCCCAACGAGCGTGTTGTACATATGTGACACCTGAGGATGCTACGCAGGTTAAGAAATGAGCCTAAGTTCGAGCTCAATCCTTCTATGCGAATAGATAGGAGTCGACAGACTCGAACAATCAAACAAATATATTGTCACGATGTCGACCGGGATATTTATTTTATACATTCATATTAGGCCTTCAAGGTCTATAACAAGAAAGATTCATTAATATAGATATAAAGCTGATAACGAACCCGATCCTTTCTTGACAAATAAACAGAGTCGACAATGTTCGACTAACAAAATAAGAATGCCCATGAATATCCCAATGATGGACTTATTGACAAAAAATCTCAACCGGATGAGACCTTAAATATTTAAATAATGTCTTCCAAAATGTCCAAATGCCCATGAAAATCTAAAATTCTAAAAATCACCTAAAATCAAGATATTTAAAATGGAATAAATCATTAAAATACTTAAAGAAAAAAATACTCGTACACCCTTCGTAATAATTTGCTGAGGTTGACAAATATAAAAATCACTTCAGCTAACAAAGAACAAATGTCTACTTGGGAATATCACTATGATTCATTTTCACTCCGTCTATTGCCAGTACGAGAGTGACATGTGTCCTCTAATCGGTTGTTTCGCTGCCAAATGGCACCATAGGTAAATGATTATGATCAAGACCCTCTGACCGAGTAGTTTTGTCGCCTTAAATTACGATCATAGTCAGAGCTCGTATGTTCCCCAACGGTGTTAAATCATTACGTAATGAACCAATGGGATCTGACCAATAGGGCGCAAAGCCCTCCATTAGCTAAGGTGGATTCAAATTTGTCTATTTAGACAAATATTTACCCCATGTCTACAAGGTACCTTTGGACGAAGCAACTCATGGCTACCGACAAGAATCCTTCTATCATGATGGGTCGACTAACTCCTCTGACTAAGTAGACTAGAGATCATGATGACTCGGGATGACAGAACCATGAGATCTTGGTTGAGTCTATCATTACTCCCCCACCATTCGCTTTAAGTACAGGATGGTAAATTTCTAATTTTAAATATTAAATTTTTAAATACCTAAAATCATGTTGCTACTATACACCAGATACTATGTATCTGCTTGATGACTAGCCTTAATCGAAAGTTCTCCCTAATTATCGGGAGGGTAATTAACTATAGGAGCTTGCACCTATAGGAAACATGAACTCAGATCATAAAGTCCTCGCAAAATGAGGGCAAAATCTCTAGGTAACGCTTTATTAAAAACCCAATCTGCCTTCTGAAAATTTGCCTCAGATCTTAAATTTTAAAACTCTCCTCCAAGATCCGATAGATAGAAAGGGGTCGCAAAGAGGCCGAGGCACGAATTTTCGAAGGCCACAAGTATCTACCTAACCAAACTGAGGTTATTTAATTCTTACTCATCTCAAATTTGACTCATTAAAAAAAAATTAGGCATGAGCTCGTTTGGAAAGATCGAGCTTGACTATATTGTTGAGCTTGATTTCTAAGTTTAAAATTAAACTTTTTCAATTTTTAAGGAATTTTTACTTTTAATATACAAATAAAATAATGAAATTATATAGAGAGAATTTTAAAAAGTTAAAACATATTATATAGTGCAAATTTAAAATTACTTTTTAAATATATTTTAAGTTAATCAAACGACTCAACAAGCTTAATAGTCAAGCAAGGTTGAGCTCGAGCTTTTATAATATGAGCTCAAGTATAGGCTCAAGTTTGAACTCATGGCTTTGTAAGCTCGCCTCATTAGATTGTTAACGAGTCGAGTTAGAGCTGGCTCAGCTCACTTACAACCCTAGTATACCTTGGTGAAGTTAGTTGATAACTTCATGAGGATTAATTCCTTATTAGGAAATCACCGTGTACATTTAATGTATATAGACTAACAATATTCATTTTGTAGCAAGTATTTATGAAGGTTAGCCATGTAATTTATTTGTCATAAATGCAATCTTTCCAATAAAATTATGCCTCAACCCTGCCTATAACTAAGGGGTGGGGTCTCCACCTATACAAAAGGGATCAGAGAACAAGCCCGGGACACATGCAATCATTGCAATAAATCTTATACTTGGCAATACAATAAGAAATCTTAAAGCTTCTTTATCTACATCTCTGTTGTTAGTCATTCTTATTAGTGAATTCTAGCATTGCCTAAGGAAAATTTTGGGTCCAAACATATATTCTTGTGATAAATACCCAAAATAGCTACTAAGATACAAACGGACAAGCTACTAGATCTGATATGGAAACTAGTCATCATCATTATTATAAGCATTCTTTTTGGAATTATCATCATCATTACCGTAAGCATTTTGCTTGGAATTAAAGATGCTGCAACACATATTACAGATGATCAGAAGACATTTACAAAAACAACAAGAAAACCCTTATAATATTGTTGAACATTTCAAATAGCTTAGAAAAAAACATCTAAGTGCAAAAGGAAACATCAAAGGGATGCACCAATGTGATCAATACAAACAATGCATTTACCTCGAAGCAACACGAACATTGTACTCCTTTCCGGGGTGATAGAATTCAGCAAGACCCCAGTCTATCAAGCGCAATTTTCGAAGCTCATGATCTATCATAACATTGTGAGGCTTAACATCTCGGTGCATGATTCCTTGTGAGTGGCAGTAATCTAATGCCTACAACCAGAAATGTTGAAAAATAAAACAGAATATTAAGAAAAAAACATCAATGCCAAAACTACGCTTAATAATAAACATGTGTAACTGAAATTTATTTTCTTGAAGAAGATGATGAGTAGCCACCTTGCTTATAAGAACATGTAAAATTTGTATGCAGAAAAAAGCGACCTAGATAATTACAATATCTTAATTAGCAATCTGACAGAAGCATGCAATTTCTTCTGTCTTCCAAGGATTAAGATCTAAAATTTGTAGAATTAGGTTATTTTGATCAACATTCACTTACCTAATATAGGTTCCATTACCCACATGAAAAATCATGAATTAAGTTGGCTTCAATTTCACTTATAACTCATTAGATGGTGATTTGCTTCAGCAATCTCTGTAGTTTGTGCAATTTTATATACAGTTTTGTCATTTAGATTTATAGAAATACAAAGTATAATCAAATTAAAAGACCTTGTGATAAAATATTTTACAAACAAAAAGATTAAAATAATGGCATTTGATTCTTTAAAACAATAAGCTGCTGCAAAATAATACAAATATAATATATAGGAATAAAAGCATAGCAATTGCTAGAGGTAGAATTACGGTGAAGACAGATTCATTGACTTATTTAGAGGTTGAGTAAAGCGTTTAAAGAAATATGCAGATACCAATTTCCCAGAGTGAACAATGCCAATTCCGCAAGCCAATTTACTCGCTGTTTTGTTTGGGGGAGAGATTGGATGATACTCTTTAGGTATTTCTGAATGTATTATTGGTTTCACCGCAAGATGTGAGCACAACAGTAGGACCTATTTACTTCAGCTAAACTAGCTGATATTCTCCAAGATCAATAACAAAAAGTACTGTTGAAATGTTTTGAGCCAATATTTAAGGATTGTCTAAAGCCGTCAATGATAAGGTAATAAAGGCCAAAACCCCACTTAAGAACCTTCTGTTAAATTATTCAGCATGCACTTTGTTGCTATTTAAGTCTAATTAAGTCACAAAAATCAGAAATTACTTTAGAAACTTAAACCTAATCTCCAAATAAAGCATATACCAATAACTTATCTTAAGATGATAACATATGCAATACATGAAGTGAAATGTCATCAGATTTTAAGAATACCTTCGTTTCATTTGGAAAGATTCTTATTTAGAGAGAGAGTTATTAATCATTGTCCTTACAATAGGAATACATTAAAAACATAATGGCCTCGATTAAAGAAAAAAGGCTGAGGGAAAACCTTAAGCAGCTCATAAATATAGTAGCGTATGTCATAATCAGTCAGTGTCGGATACAAGATTTTGAAATCTGTGCTGTTCACATATTCAAATATCAAGCTAGGAGTTTTAGAATGCTGGTCTCTGACAATATCAAGAAGCTTTACAATATTGGGACCACCACAAAGATTTTGAAGTATTTTAATCTCCCTCTTTATCTGCAAAATAGGCAATAAAAAATAATTAAGCAATCAAATTTAATCATCAATTCAAGAAAGTCCTTAGTGTGCTCTATGATTGAAAAATTGGAGTGGGCAGACAGTGATAGAAAACATAGAGTAACATTTTATTTACTTGATTCAAGCACAGTTCAAACATGTTTACATAAAGGTAAGAGAATAGAGGAATAAAAAATACAATAGAATATATATTCTCAATAACAAGAAAATGTTATAATAATAAATATTACAGATTATCATTACATAAATGTTTAGCAAATATGATAAGATGATATTTGCATGTTTAAGTTTTGAGCCTTTATACTGTTATAGGTGGGGTGGCATTGATCAAGTTCGTTCACAATAGAAAACACATTGAATAAAGAGTTATTCTTCAATGACACTCACAATGTCATTAACATTACTGAGCAGTAAGCTCAAATCCATATCAGTTATGTAGCTACATTCACTAGCCTGATTCTGTCCTTCAGGCCAACATACTTAATTAAAATCATTACAATTGAAATTTATGCCCAAAAGTTGTACTTCCTTATAGGAAAAAAAAATATATGGATTACTAATTACAGAATGCTGATAGGAAATACTTGAGTTCGCAAGTAACCCCAAGGGAAATACTTGAGTTTGCAAGCAAACCTATCACTAATTGGAGAAAACAGTGAGAATAATACAAAATCTGGGTGAAATCAGTCCCAAAAATGTTGGATTGCACTAAGAGAATCAAGTCAAACAAAGACAAAGCAAGATACAAGTGATCCCCAATTCGAGAGGAGGATCATTCTCTCCCAAATCTCTAGACAAACAATCTAGAGCCAAAATCCCAAGAACTCCAAGAGAAACTCAAAATCATGGACAAAAACTCCCTCTCAAACAAATCCCCCTATTCATACAATTAATTTTCTAATTCAAACATCTCTCATTCAAATTTCCCCTCTCAAACTAGCCTCCCAAACCCCCTCTCCCCATTGGCCCAAAGGGGAAGCAGCAATAAATGAGGCGGACCCCCTTTTTTCCGCCTCCTATACACCTGAGCCGGCCACTGGGTTGGCTCCTGGGCCGGTTCAGGGTGAACCGGCCTATCAATGCACACCATAGTTCCTATTAATTTTAATGTTTATAACAATTTCAAGTGAAGTACTGTTGCATTTGCAAAAAAAAAAAAAACTATATAATTGAAATTTATACCCAAAAACTAAATTCCCTCACCGAGGAGACAGGCCATCGTTCCTATTAATTTTTATGTTCATACCAATGTTCAAGTGAATTAATTTTGCATCTGCAAAAAAAGACTTTATATAAGATAAGCTTGTGTTGTTTCTCTCTTGAAACTTTCTCACTGGAATAACCACAAGCTGATAGTAATATCACGGAATGTATGGCGATGAAAGTAAACAACTTGGCCAGCTTACAAGTAAAATGAAATCTTTCAGTGGAAGCCAACAAAAAAACTTAGCATTTTGAATAATGATTAGTTTGAGTTATGCGTGATTCAATTAACTACTCGTATTGGATGGATTGGTACTTAAAGATGGTTCTACCATTAACAAATAAAAAAGCAGCAGAATTATCTTATCTATTAGTAAATTGTTCAGACGATGGTGAAAAGGGGGTATCAGATTAACAATTTATATGTTTATTAAACTAGGTAAGTTTAACACAATGCAGCAAAATTCTAATTTCCATGATGCAGTTGAATTTCGCTAACTGGTAGACATCTGCTTCTACAGTTACAAATAAGCAACTCGAAAGGAAGTTCCCACAATGCAAAAATAAATTGAAATAGATATAGGTTCAGCAAAAACAAAAGTAAAGAATTCAAATAGTGGAATCTTGGTTCAGTTTCTAGGAATCCATAACATAAATATGATCTGCATTAATATCAGCAGACAGTACCTTCTTTTTCTTGACAGGTTTAAGGATTTTAATGACGCAGCGCTCATCATTGGAAACATTAATGCCTTCAAAGACCTCGCTATATTTTCCTCTTCCAACTTTCCTAACAACCTCATAATCATCCTGATCCCTGCATAACAAAAAAAAAAAGAACCAAACTCGAGCTATCATGAATTATACCAAAAGTAGCTTTGATAAACATAGTATAACAACAACAATATTCACTGAACCATGCAAAATACGCCCTCCTTTATGTAAAAATGTGTTTTCAAGTAGCTAAATACTAAACCAACATGTCATATGAGAAGATGTAGCTAAATGATTTTTTTAATAGCTACTCTAAATGAAAGCTTCTATGCAAAAAAATTATGAAAACAAACAATATTACGAATTGCCTACTAAACTTTTATGTGATCATCATAATCATCATTCAAACTAGCCTTATACCAACTATTTTGTGTTAGGATTAATTAATTATTGTTATTTGTTCATTCTTGTCAAATGTTTCATCTGGTATTATATTACTTAGTCATTTGTTTCACACTATTTCTATCTCTTTTCCACCCAAGTCTCTAGTTTTGTTGTATTTTCCATATATGTTACTAATATACTCTCTCTACTGAAGTCATTTAGTAACTCATCTTAGTAGTTTCGCCAGATATTGATAGGTAATGCTTGAAGAATTCACGTGAAACCTATCAATATCGGAAGAAAACAGAGAAAAGTCACCCAAAATCTCCCTCCAAACCAGGAAAAACAGTAATTCTCTTGTATAAACAATGGAAACGGGAGGAAAATAACAAGATAAAAGTGATCCTCTATTCTAGAGGAGGATCTATCTCTCCAAAATATCTAGACGTCGCTAGAGCCAAAGACGCCAAACACCAAACACAAAATTCAACAATATTCAAGATGCCCTAACCCTAAACCAAAACTCGTACTTAAAGCAAAAACATAAAAATAACCCAAAAGGACTAAACAGAAAAAAAACCCAAAAAGACAAACCCCCCCCCCCCCCCCCCCCCTCTTCTCTCTTCCCTAGGCAGTGTACCCCACCGCCAAGGGGGCGGGAATTGGAGCATGCGGCACTATAAGTTTCCGGCTACTGTATGTGATGAGCCGGCCCAAAGGCTGGGTTGGCTAGATCGGTCCCTCCTTGACCAGTTTAGGCGTATCAATACTCTGCTCCCAAAGAACCACCTTATCCTCAAGGTGGAAAGACGGGAATTGATGTTGCACCCTCCCATAAGGCTCTCATGTAGCATCATAATTTGGAAGGTCCCTCCACTTGATCAACACCTCCTGTATCCCTCTTTCTCCCTGGCGCACTCCTGTAGCTCAAGGGGTTCCAATACCATTTCCAAATCTTTAGTCAATGTTGTTGGCAACTCTAAACTCATTGTGTGATCCCCTACAACTCTACTCAATTGTGATACATGAAACTTTGAATGTATGGTGGAGGTAGGGAGCAACCTCAAACGATACGCCATTGCTACAATTTTCTCTAATATCTCATAAGGGCCAAAATATCTTGAAGGCAGCTTCTCATTCCTCCTGTTAGAAACATTCCTCTGTCTGTAAGGTCAAAGCTTCAAGAACACCCTATCCCCTGCTTCAAACTGAATGTCCTTCCTATGCCCATCTGCATGTTTATTCATAATCTATTAAGCTCTCAACAGATACCTCTTCAATTCTTCTAACACCCTGTCTCTCTCCTCCAAATACTCATATATTGAAGAAACTGGGGTGCTACTATGCCCAAAATGCACCATGTGAGGTGGACCGCGTCTGCACAACACTTTGTATGGGGTCATCTGAGAGGGCGAATGATATGAAGTGTTGTACTAGTACTCTACCCATGCTAACTCCAATAGCCAATGTGTCTCCGGAACGAAGCATCATAGGTATGCCTCCAAGCTCCTATTAACCACCTCTGTTTGCTCATCTGTCTCTGGGTGATAGGTAGTGCTCATCTTTAGTACTGTCTCCTGTAGCCTGAATAACTCACTCCAAAAGTGACTGAAGAACTCCTTATCCCTGTTGGATATTATAGACTATGGTATCTCATGCAGTCTGACTACCTCCCTAATGAAAGCTGATGCCACTGTCATTGCCATGTATGGGAGTCATAGGGGAATAAAATGAGCAAACTTGCTCAGTTTGTTTAATACCACTAAAATCATTGTGAACCCATCCTATTGAGGTAATTCATTGATGAAGTCCATGGATACCTCCTCCCACACCCGATCTAATAGAGCTAAGTGTTGTAGTAATCCGTTTGTAGCCATGGACATGTATTTATTTCTCTAACAAATCTCACATATGGCTACCAACTCCTCAACATCCTTGTGCATCCTCTTCCAGTACAATTCTGAGGCTAGTCTCATGTATGTCTTTTGCACCCCTGAATGACCCCCAACAGCGCTCCCATGGAACTCCTGGAACAAGTGTGAAATATGGACTGATGCCTTAGGCATCACAAATCTCCCATGGTATAGAAGCCTTTCCCCTTCTAAAGAATAGCCTGGATGGCCACTCTCATCCTTCAATAAAGTCATAGGGGAATTAAATGAGCAAACTTGTTCAGTTTGTTTACTACCACTAAAATCATAGTGAACCCATCCTATCGAGGTAATTCATCGATGAAGTCCATGGATACCTCCTCCCACACCCGATCTGATAGAGCTAAGTGTTGTAGTAGTCCGCTTGTAGCCATGGACATATACTTATTTCTCTAACAAATCTCACATATGGTTACCAACTCCTAAACATCCTTGTGCATCCTCTTCCAGTACAATTTTAAGGTTAGTCTCATGTATGCACCCTTGAATGACCCCCAACAGCGCTCCCATGGAACTCCTGGAGCAGGTGTGAAATATGGACTGATGCCTTAGGCGTCAAAAATCTCCCAAGGTATAGAAGCCTTTCCCCTTCTAAAGAATATCCTGGATGGCCACTCTCATCCTACAATAAATCTACCCTAATTCTCCCCAGCTCCTCATCCCATGTACTCTCCTCCTTAATGACCCTCCAATCCAGCACCAGTGGTATCGACACTGTTATCATCTGTAACTCCCCCGTAAATCTGGACAAGGCATCTGTTGTCTTGTTCTCTATCCTCGGTCTATACTAGATTCCAAAGTCATATCCCAATAACTTTGACAACCATCTATGGTGCTCCTCTGTCACCATCCTTTGCTCCAACAAATACTTCACGCTCCGCTGGTCCGTCTTAACAATGAAAAGCCGACTCAACAAGTAGGGTCGTCACTTCTAGATGGTTAGCACAATGGCCATCAACTCCCTCTCATAGATTTACTTCAGCCTAGCTTTAGCTGTCAACACCTGGCTGAAGTAGGCGATGGGCCGATGGCTCTGCATAACTACTGCTCTGAATCCATACCCTGAGGCATCTGCCATCTGTCTCCACTATGAAGACCTGAGTGAAATCTAGAAGGGCAAAGACCGGCACAGTGGTCATGGCCTCAATCTCTAAAAAGTTGTTATGGCCACCTCCCCCCACAGAAACTATCTTTCTTCAATTATTCTGTCAGTGGTCATGCGATGGTGTTATAGCCCTTCACCAATGTCATGTAGTAGCCAGTCAACCCTGAAAATCCCCTCAACTCCCTGAGATCATCCCAACATAACCTCAATTTGTCCTGATCAATAGCTACACCCTCCTGAGAAACTACATGTCCCAAATACTCCACATTGGCCTAGACAAACCAATATTTCTTAATATTGGCCCTCAACTGATGCTCATGTAATACCTCTAAAACCTTCCTCAAGGGCTCCCAATGCTCCCATCTAACCTGTGGTAAACCAGAATATCATCAAAAAATACTAGCACAAATCGCTTGAGATAGGGTCGGAAAACCTTGTTCATGCGAGACTAGAAAGTGGCTAGGGCATTAGTGAGGCCAAAAGACATCACTAGAAATTCATAATGCCCCTAATGAGTTCTAAAAGCAGTCTTAGGCACATCCTCCCTTTTCATTCTAATATGATGGTACCCTGACTTCATATATGTTTTTATGAAAATAACTGCCTCACTCAGCTCATCCAATCATCTACATTAGGATAGAAAACTCATCTAGCACATTTTCCTTATTCATCACCATGTAGTCCACGCAGAACCTCCAACTTTCATCTTTTTTCTTAACAAATAACATTGGGCTAGAAAAAGTACTCACATTGGGCTTGATAATCCATGCCTCCAGCATCTCTCTGATCAACTTCTCAATTTTATCATTCTGAAATTGTGGATAGCACTAGAACCTGACATTGATGAGTGACATACATTCCCTCAAGATGATAGCATGCTTCTGCTCTCTTAGCGGTGGCAATCCTTAAGGTGACTGAAAAATCTCACTGAATTAAGGAATCAATGGCAATACAGAAAGAGGAATGTCCCCGCACTCTTCCAATCTGATCCCCTCCAGCCTATGTAGCTACACCAGATATCGTTCCCCCATCTCCTATATGCTCCTCACCATATTTTTAAGTGATATTATGGTTTGGAAAACCCTGCATCTCCCCTGATCACTACCCTCGCCTCTTCCACCATCAGATCCATCATCAATGCTCCCTAATTGACCTTGGTGTCCCCCAAGGTCTACAACCACTTCATCCCCATGATGACGTCATTGCTCCCCAACTCCAATGGGAGAAAATACTCCCTCACCTGAACCCTCTGCATGGTTAACACTACTCCCCGACATATCCCATGGCCCATCTTCACCCTCCCTATACCCATCATCACTCTATAACACCCTGTATCCACCAAGGTCACCCTTAATTGGTCCACGACCTGGTTAAAAATGAAATTGTGGGTAGCCACACAGTCAATAAACACCACCACCTCCCTGCCTGTTATTTTCCCCTTCACCTTCATGGTATGACTTGGAGTGAATCTTACCACTGAGTTCAGGGAGATCTCTACCACGTCCAAATGTATCTTGTCCACCTCCTCTCTCCCTGTCTCACTCTTACCTCCCTCAATTTCCTCGTCATCACAAATGATGAGAACCTGAAGAGTTTGGTCCATGTACCTGTGCCCTGGAGTATACTTCTCATCACATCTGAAGCATAGTCCATTCGCCCTCTTCTCCTGCATCTCCCTCTCCGTTAGTCTTTTGAAGTTTCCCCCACTTCCTCCTCCTGGCTTCTCCCTTAGAGTCTCCTGAATGTTGCCCGATGCGGACCCCTTGGGTGTTAAGAGAGTGGTAGTCCTTCTGTAAGAACATCCTGAATTGCTGCCTCTGGCTCCTCTCTTCTAGTACTTCTGATCCTCCACCAGTTGTGTCAGCTTCATAGCCTCTCCTAAGCCACAAGGCCTCGTGACCTTCACTACTTCCCAGATCTCTGATTTGAGTCCCTTCATAAAATTTTCCTCAAGAATAGCCTCCGATAGTCGATCCAATCGACTCGCCATGTACTCAAATCTCTCGCGATAATCTTCAACTGAGCCTTCCTGTATTAGTGCAAAGAACTACTCATAGAAGTCCCCTCCCCTACCGATTTGGAAACATTCAAATGAGCATTCCTTGAACTCTCTCCAACTCCGTATGGGCCTCCTCATGTCTCTCTATTGGTACCCAGCCAACGCCTTCCCTTCCAAACATAAGCCAACTGCCGTCAATTTTTCCTCTCCCGTCAACCCATTGACGATGAAATACTCTCTACCTTGTAGATCCACTAATCTGCGTCCTCCCCTTCAAATATAGACATCTTCAGCTTCCAGACCTTCGAATCTCCCCCATTTTTCCTGATTCCTCCATAATTTCCCCTTCTGCAAGCATTTGGTCCTCCCAAATGTCCCAATCCTCCCTTCCACGCTCATACTCATACCCATCTTTACTTTCTCCCCTCCTTCCTTCCAAATCAACACCCCTCCTACCATAATCCCCTTCTTTTCTTTCCCAATCAACACCCCTTGGTTCATGCCCCCCATAAACACGCCTCTCACCATACCTTCTACCACTCCCCTCTATAATCTCCACATCGTTTTGACTCTTACGAATTTCAGAATTTCTATTTCTCCCTACCAAACCTCTTGCTTCCAATGCCGTCGTTTGATTTTGATTGTCCAGCATCTTTTTCATCACCTCATGAAGATCTGAAACTTTATCTTCAATGGAGGAAATTCTATCCTCCACTGATTCTTTCATTTGGCTCATCTCTCCCTCAAGGCATTCTCCCAACGTGTTCACTTTCTTGGCCTCCATAGATACCCGGATTTTTGTTGGACTCAAAATCTGGATCTTGACCTCAAAAACAGCAAAATAATCCCTCTTCAGACAAAAATCAGCCGCCGCTTTAAAAAAAAATAACCCAAAAACAATCCCAAAAATTGCTCTGATACCAATTTGATAGGTAGCGCTTGAAGAATTCATGTGAAACCTATCAATATCGGAAGAAAATAGTAAAAAGTCACTTAAAATCTCCCTCCAAACTAGAAAAATATTAATTCTCTTATAGAAAAGATGGAAACGAAAGAAAAATAACAAGATACAAGTGATCCTCTATTCAAGAGGAGGATATATCTCTCCAAAATCTCTAGACACACCTAAAGCCCAAGACGCCAAGCACCAAACAAAAAATTCAGCAATACTCAAGATGCCCTAACCCAAAACCAAAACTCCTATTTAAAGCAAAACATAAAAATAACCCAAAAGGACTAAACATTCTCCCTTCTCTCTTCCCTAAGCAACGGACCACACCCCAAGGGGGCGGGATTTGAAACCTGCGGCACTACAGGTTTCCGCTTGTTGTATGTGATGAGCCGGCCCAAGAGCTGGGCCGGCTGGACCGGTCGAGGCATATCAGATATCCATCTGAATATTCTCAAAGGGGTTTTACGTGAAGCTAAACAAATAACACTGGAAAGCCTAATCTCTCTATATTTCAAATTGCACAAAGTTAAACTTAGTTAGCAATCCCCTTTTATTCCAGTAATTGACAAAAAATGGAAATCATCAACAATCCAAGAGTCTCTTTTTTCTTTATTTTTTAAAATAATCCGAGCACTGCATAAAACAACGTACCCATTTCCCCAACATGGATTTATTACAGGCTATAAGACATAAATGAATGAAGCTCAGATACACTATGACGGACATAGAACTAAGAAGGTTAACCATATCTTGAAAAAACTTCAACAAGCAAGAAAAAAAAAAAGATGAATGATCAATTATATAAAAAATAATAATAAATAGCTTTGGAAATTTTCGTGCATGTCAAATGTACAATTTTGCAGAGCTTCCAATAGTTATAGGCTCCTATGTCTAAGTTTTAGAAAATCTGAAAATCAAAACCGGACTGAAGCTGGAAATTCTATCCAATATTCCAAGAATTAGAAAAACAAAAGTTCCATGGCCAATATAGCATCTTGCACTAAAATAAGAGACCTACAGCCAACTTATTGCAAGGAATCACATTTCTGAAACCTTATTAAGCTGCCAACTTATGTAAGCTGTCTCTTCAAAGTTAAAGCATCATTCTCATTGCAGATTGCACAACTATGACTATATATGAGTCACAATAACCAAACAAACGAATCAACTTCTTGGTCATGCTCATCAACACAAATACACAATCCTCCTTTGAATTCAGAATGTAATGATATAACAAATGATTCAGATCAACCCTTCCAATAATGAAATGACAACCAAGCTGCATAAACTTGAAGCCTCAAATCATTCGATTCTGCTCTCTACATATACAATCAAATATCTAAAATATCTCTTGCCAAAGTTGACCACTCCACTCCTTCATCCTAAAAAAAAATTCTCTTGAAAGAGCAATCGTGATGTCGAACATACATAGGCAGCTAGAAAAGTGATTTGACCATTGCCGGACCCATATTGGTCAGGTTGTTTTTTTTTTCCCGTAATTCCCATCAAAATCATGGGAGAAACCTCGGATAATCAGCTGATCACTAGAATTGAATGAAACTAATTATTAACAAAAAAATCACCTAGGAATACTAGCGGGCACACAAGGCACAGCTCACAAACACGATAGAAACCAGAACAAAACCGTAAAGTCGGGCGAACTTCCATCTATCGGCAAATTGAACCCTCAAACAAACCCCAAAAGCATAAGCCAAATCAAGTATAGATCCCAAAGAAAGAGGCAATTGTGCATAGGGTTACGCAAAGTTACCCCCACTGCACGATGAAAGATTCGTAGTCCCAGTAATCCTTTTGACGGAGCACGTTGATATCGGCGTAGACACGGGCCTTGGACATTGCTGGCGACCTCTGGATCTTAGTGATCAGAGCAAATGGATTGCGATAGATACAGTAGCTTCGATAAATGTGCAACAATGATTGATGTCGTATGGATGGAGATGCTACAATAAATGGATGGCGGTGGAGGAGGGAAGAGGTGAGAGCAGCGCGTATAGCACGGCCATCGCTAGCACGATCGGGGGATAAGCGTGGGAGACATCGCAGGTGCATTGGCCATCTCAAGACATCGCAAGTGCGTTGGAATCGGAGGCGCAAACCAGGGAGTCGGATTTTCTCGCTATTAATAGTTCTTGACTTCTCAATAGTTTTTTTTTTTTTAATTATTATAATGACCAGTAGAAATTGAAAATTTTGGACTGGATTCTGACCAATTTTAGAAGAAGCTTCTATGACGTCGATGCAAAGCCATTTAGGCAAGAAAACCCCTCAGCAAATCGGCAAATTATTACGTTGTCCGGATTTGTCTGGATCCTAATCTAGATGTAACACGTCACCAAAATACAACGGGTCCCAGTGTATTTGGGTGATGTGGAGCATTTGGACTGGATGTCCGGACGTCCAATGACCGGACGTGATAGCCCAGCAAATCAATTCAAGGTGGGATTCGAGAAGACTCCTAATTCTACTTAGGTTTTGTTTAGCATGATTTTCTTAGTGCTCCTTAAAGCTATTTTTTAGTACAAAAATTAAAATTTTTGTACTAAAAAATTGTTTTAAGAAGCAGTAAGAAATGCGTCCCAAACTAAGCCTTCGTTTAGTTCTAATGAGACATTTAAGTTAATCAAGACAAATACATATGTATACCACATGCGCGAGACTCAAACCAAAACCTCTTGGCTAATAACTTAAACTCTCAAACAAACAAATCAAGATGAGCTGCGTATAAATAATTGGATATAGACATAATAATTGATATCATGTTGATTGTATTAAATATTTGCTCAAATTTGGTTTTAAACTCTTAACTTAATAAAATTTCGTGTCAAATTGATTTGCTGACGTAAAATCAATATGAATATTATTCATGCTCATGTTAAATAGGTTAGGTTTGAACTAAACAGGAAAATAATTCATTTTGATCCAACAAAATTGTATGATTCATATATTAAATATGTTAAACGAGTTCATGTGGGTTATGTTCGGTTTAAATATTTTGATCCGTACAATAAATGAGTTGTGTTTAGGCTAAGCATATTTGAGGGTCAATTTCATGTTTGATTCACATCCAACCTGTCAATCGTAACTAACACCAATACATATAAGTAATATCAACTAAATAATAGGAAAAAAAATCAACTAAATACTATATATATATATATATATATATATATATATAAACTAAATAAAAAAATCAACAAAATCACAAAAAAAAATATCAACTAAATCATCTGCTTTTTTTTTACTCGTGATAGGCTCTACTATGATTTTCTCTGCCCTAGTCGACCTCCTCCTCCGCATTGCGTTGCTCATGCCCTCTATCGTTTGAGTCTTCATTAGGGTAGTTTTTCCTCTTCTCTCCATAGTCTTCTTGGTTTTTCTTATGATTTTTTTTATTTTCGCCCATTTTTTTATTTGAATGGCAGTTAATCGTTTGAATGACCCCTAATTTTTGAATGTGAAGTAAAAATCATGTTTGTTTAGGGATGCTCTGTCTAGGGGTTCAACCTCACTGGAGTTTCCTGCCCTTAAAATCACCAGTCACCAAGGATTACCGTCATGAATTTCGGATGATAAAATGCTTGCACTTGGTGCACTCTTCGAGTTTTCTTTGGTTGGGAAATTCCAGGGCGTCGACCTTCTCTTGTGCAAATCATAAATTATTTGTCAACCTAAAACTTCTAGGTGATTTTTTTCAGTTACTTTGCTCAACTCAAATAATGTGTTGATTAAGTTAGTGAATGATTTGAATTATCGTAGAGTGTTTTCCCGGCACTCTTATTTTGTTAGCAATTGCTTCATGAAATTGTTTAAGTAGACTCCTCATTTTGACATTAATGTGAAATCCCCTACCATTCCGATTTGGGTCTCCTTCCCTAACCTTCGACTTCACCTCTTTTTTCCCCGTATCATTCACGGTTTGGGGTCTTTATTGGGTCGATCTTTAAAAATGGATAATGCTACCTCTAATGGCACAAGACCCTCAATCGCTCGTGTTCTTGTTGAATTAGATGTTACCAAACATTATCCTGATCAAGTTTGGGTTATATTCAGTTTGTGAAAATGAAAGTTTTTCCTTCTTAGTGTGTTCACTGCAAAGCTTTGGGGCATTTGAAATTAGAATGTTGTATTTTATACCCTCATTTAGCTAAAGCTCCCACTAGTACCCCTATTTGTTGTTAATGTGGGTGATATGGCTGAGTTATTTTATGCATGTGGATAATTTGAAACCGGGTCACCTACATTTGGCTATTAAAGTGGGTTATAAGGTTACTAATGTTATGCATGATAATGTTCAGGTCAATATGTGTGTTGATTTATCTTTGTATGAAACTGGTTGAACCTAATTTATTAGTCTCAGATGACCCTATGCTTCCTCTTGCTATTGTTTCGGTTCAAGAGAAATTAGATACTTTTAATCTTATTTTGGGTGACATTGGATTACCTATTCCTATTGTGAACATTGATGGCATTAAATATTCTTCACCTTTTGTGGACTTAGCATATTCGAGTCATAATGGAGGTGAGGATGCTTATGTTGATGATCTGGTTTAAGAGAATAATTCTCCTAAAATTTGATCCATTTGATATGTCTATGACTTAGTTTTTATTGGGTATTTATAAAATTGAGGGTCTAATAGCCTGGGTTAAGAACAAACTCTTTATATAGAAGATAATGATGTTGTTGTCTTAAAGATTTGATAACAGTATAAAATTATCTTTTATATGCTAAATATCGTTGTTTTGCCTCATTCAATTTGTCACTAAAAAAGATACCATAGATGTTTTGACTTAATTAGATTTTACCAATTTTAATTTAAAAAATATATTACTCTAAAAGATTTTGAAAAACTAGGTTGCCTAAAGATGAGGATATATGCAATCAAAATAGCAATATGGTATAAGGCCTTTTTATGTTGTAGGGATCAAAGAAAATTTATCTAGTTCTAGAATATTATTGAGTATGGTAACTATTCTACTAAAGACCTTAATTAATCTTCTATAGAAAGTAATAAAACTATGAAAACTTTACACTTTAATGAAACTCTTGGGTGAGGATCAATCTATAATAGCTTGAACATTATGATGGTCGGGTTTGATTCCAGTGGTGAAAAAAATGAATCCAAAGAAAATCACCTCAATTTGTAAAACAAAATACTTCTCACGGCTGATGTGCACCTATTCTTTCCTAAGGGATTCAAAGACTTATCTAAGGTCTTATTAAATGTGCTAGGGGTATGTGAATGTTTAAATGGCGCCGCCAACCATTTGTAGAGTTAACTAGAGGTTTTAAAGTAGTTTTTATTCATATGTTGATTGAATCCTAATTTTTTTATATCTACTTTTTGGACCAATTAAAAACAAGAACTCTTGAGATCTATTGCATGCTAGAAAGTTCACTATAATAGAGATAGAATTTTTATATGTTAGATTTTCATGAACATCCATCACACATGCACACAAATAAAAATAATACAATAACACCATGATTTTTACGTGAAAATTTTAAACGAAAAGCATAACTTGGATAAAATAATTCACTTTATGTATAGTTTATAAGAGTCAGTTATTCCTCTCAAATGGAAAAAGACAAAGTTATATGTTAGATAGCTCAGTAGCATTGGTAGAGACATCATAAAGCCTATGAAGGGGAATGCTGACATCATAAACACGATATTGTTTGGCCTGAAGTTTACAAAAGAATAATTGGGTTGCACAAGTTACTATAAATTATGCTGCTTGACTTGATGGCCTGGCGACGTAACGATTATGTACATTATATATTTGTTCTGTAGGCAACGTCGTTGCCATGGTAGCCATTCAACGAAGAATTAAATATATAAGAACAAGACAAGATAGCTGTATTCTATATATTTATTTATATCTAATAATTTCATTTCCTCGGCAAGAATATCAAGGCAATATTCGAATAAAAAATAATAAATTTATAGCTGAATTGAACAACACAAGTGATCAAATCTGAGTGCAATCTTATGTGATGATTGAGTAGCTTGACGAGATGAATCCAACGAGGTTAAGATCATTCGATGATATCAGTGATCAAGATAAATGATCTATGGTCATAAGGATCAGCATAAGCAGTTACATGGAGTGTTTTGGATTTTGGCTAAATCTATTAAATTGTCCCATTCAAAAAAACTATTAATAGTGTAATGTGTTGAAAGAGTTAATGACTATGTTGCACCGATACACCTATTTATGAAGGTGCGTTGTATCTGATACATTGATACACGGATACGCCTCCGATACGGCACCGATACGTGTTGGATATGGCTTTGTCATATCTAATTAAAATACTATTTAATTTCAAAAGGACACGCATATCCGATATGCGTGTCCGTTCCAAAAACAAAAAAATTCCGAAAAAAAGATTCGTATTTACTTCCGCCGCTACAAGCGAGGTTTTCTCATTTCCGAGATGGATTTGAGTCTCTTGATGATATGAGACTATTAAAAATTGTTAATCTTTTACTTGATGAGCCTGAATTAGAAGCTATGATATTTATTGAAGATAATATAGAAGTTCAAAGACAAACCACTGAAGAAGCTAATAATATCATTCCTTCTATTGAATAGATTTATGTTTATGCTTTTGTTGTTGTACTAGATATTTAGGCTTTGTTTGGGAGGCTTTCTTACTTCTTCTTAAAATAGCTTTTTAGTACAAAAATTTTAATTTTTGCACTAAAAAGTTACTTTAAGAAACAATAAGAAAGTCGTCCCAAACAAAGCCTTAATGCTTACTTTTATTTTGATATTATAAGCTCTAAGGCTACAAATGATATTACTTTCATTTTTTTTTTGTAATTATAAATATTATACTTTGATTGATTTCTAAATTTTTATGTATGATTTATAAATTATAATGTCGTATTAAACGATCTGTTGGATATCATTATCATTAAGATACTTAAAGTCTAGATAAATGATCTACGATCATAAGGATTAACATAAGCAGTTATATGGAGTGTTTCGGATTTGACTAAATTTATTAAACTGACCCATTAAAAAAAACTATTAATAGTGTCTAATTTTCTACGTAAATGAGATTCAAGTGTTGAAAGAGTTAAAAAACTCTATTACAATTAATGATCACTGTTGACTATTATCATCAATAATTGCAACTATCATCACCTGATTTAGGGGCGGAACCAGCTTCAATTTTGAGGGGGGGCAAATACAACATATTAATAATTAAATATTAAAAAAATATTATTATATATCCATATATTATGATAAGTTTTTTTAAAAAAATTAAGCAAGAAAAATAAAGAAAATTAAGTGTAATTAAACAGTCATGAAAAACATGAAAGAGAATATTAGAACTAAATGTGAAGAAATATATAGATATTTTAGGGCAAGTAAGGATAAAAATATTTTTTAGGGGGGGGCAAAACAAAATTTTAGGAAGGGCAAAAAATTTTTTTACTCTTCTATAAATTTTTTTTTTTTTTTTACTCTTATAATTTTTTTTTTACTCTTATAAGCTATTAGTAGTTCCGCATCTGACCTGATTTCTTTCATGTGATTGTTGCCTCTTACTATCTTAATTACTGGTGAAGTCTAGCTAGGTCTTCAGCACTCCAATAATGAAATGGCTTGCCAGATCAGATGGGTTCCACTGCTATCTTTTCAGTGTCCGGAAGACAGCCTATTTCATTCCCCCAGCTCTTCTTGGTTCAAAACTATTCTATGATGAAGCAGATTTGATCTCATAGTACAATCATATTGTGCTGCTGGCATGTTTCCTGAGCTAAAATGTTTAGAAAGATACAAGTAATTGCTAATCTTAGGGAAGCAGATAAGCTTTTTGCTGTAGTAGAACGACTTAGGATTCGTTTGGGACGATTTTTTTATGCTTCATAAAGTAGCTTTATAGTACAAAAATTAAAATTTTTATACTGGAAAGCTGCTTTAAGAAACAATAAGAAAGCCATCCCAAACGAAGCCTTGTTCTCTTTTGCTTTTTACTGTGATTAAGGTGAAGCTTTCCCCACTGTCATGCCAGTTAACAAATGTTCTTGTTCAAATAAAAATCAAATCAGATTTGTTTACACAAATAAGAGTCAGATATCGTGGTGATAATGTTATTATTGATCTAATTAAAATATTGAAATAGTACGATTTTATTTGGGACTGTTTTCTTACTGCTTCTTAAAGCAATATTTTAGTGCAAAAATTTTAATTTTTGTACTGAAAGCTGCTTTAAAAGCAATAAGAAATTCGCCCCAAATGAAGCCAAGCCGGATTTGTTGGTGCTAAATAACTTTAGAATCAGAGCTGAATGTTCTATTTAGATCAAGTGGATTTTGGTGCCTTCCATCATGTTTGATAAAAAATCCCAGCTTAATTTAAAGTTAGGCTTTGTTTGAAACTACTTTCTTAAAGTAGTTTTTTAATATAAAAATTAAAATTCATGCACTAAAAAATTGTTTTAGGAAGCAATAATAAAGCGTCCCAACATGTTACAGAATTTGAGCTTTGCTGGGCAACTTGTAGTCTGTACTGAGAGGAACAGCAACGTGTGCAAGGACCCTCCATCCAAACTGAAAGAGAAATAAAAGCAGAACAAATAAGAAAAAAGAAGGAAACTTGATTTGTTATTGGTGGAAATTAGCTTCAAACCGCCATCACAGATTTAGATTCTCAGGCCAACTCTTCCGTCTCTCACTCTCTCACTTTTCTTCTTTCCTTCCAATTGATAGAGACGGGAAAGATAAAAAAATAAGAAGAAGAAGAAGAGTAGATAAGCCTTAGGAACCTCAACAATGCTGAGTTTTGATAAAGGCGATCCAACATCACTCACTTCTATCTCTAAGAAGCAGTACCTCCTCTCTACTGCCATGAAGAGAACAAGCGATTGGTATCAACGTTCTTCCTTTCCATTCTCCCTAATGAATTCTCTGAAAAATCGTCCATTTTAATATTCTCTTATTTGATCTTACTTTGTGTCTCCAGTACTGTTAACGGTATTACATAAATATGCAGGATTTTTGCACAAGATACACCCACTGACATCAATGTTCGGGCAGCAGGTTCAGCTTTCTCCTTGCACAGGGTAATTCTCCGTCCTCTCAGCTAAAATCATATGAAGTTGCAGAAGAAACTCTATTAAAAATAAAGAATTTGTAGATAACAAATTCAACCGCAAAGTTTTCAGATTAAATAGAGAGAATAATAGCTTTAGAGTTCATTAGTAGCGACTATTTCATATACTTTTCAGAGACCTGTTGCATAGCTTCTTATGATCAAACCTTTTAGAAATCAAAATTTATATAATTTTTCTTTTAATCAAATCTTCCCTTCTTGACACTTACAACCTATAAGTGCAGTTTCCTCTCAGGTCCAAATGTGGATTTATAAAGAAACTGCTATCAGAACCCAATGACAAAACATCATCCATTGATCTACCTGACATTCCTGGTGGTTCCGAAGCTTTTCAGCTTGCTGCTAAGTTCTGTTATGGAATAAATTTTGAAATCAACACAGAAAATATTGCGATGCTTCGATGTGCATCTGAGTTCCTTGAGATGACAGAAGAAGTTTCAGCTGGAAATCTATTGAGCAGAACAGAAGCTTATTTAGAAGAACTTGTACTGATTAGTCTTTCAGGTTCAGTCACAGTTCTTCATAAATCTGAGGAGCTTCTTCCCATGGCTGAGAAGGTAAAATTAGTGAGCAGATGCATTGATGCAATAGCTTATTTGGCTTGCAGTAATAGTCAGTTTTCAACATCTTCAAAGACTGATAGTAGTCTTGAAAACTCGAGTTCCTCAGTTTCTCAACCAAGAGCTGTTATGGATTGGTGGGCAGAGGAGCTAATTGTTCTCAGGATTGACACCTTTCAAAGGGTTCTTATGGCCTTGAAGTCAAGGGGGTTCAAACAGCAAGCCCTTGGACCAGTTATCATGCTCTATGCTCAAAACGCACTTCGAGGTTTGGTGGGTTCCCATTCTTGTAATTCATTACTGTCTGATAAGATATTCATTGAAATATTATTGTTAAAGTTCTGGAGTCTAATTATCTAGATTTTGCCTAATACCTATAATCATCTCTTATGATTTGGGGTGGATATATTAAGATACATAAGAGTATTAGATTTAGATTTCATTTGGAATGGCTTTCTTACTGCTTCTTAAAGCAGCTTTTTATTACAAAAATTTAATTTTTTTTTATTAGAAAGCTGCTTTAAGAAACAGTAAGAAAGCCGTCCCAAACGAAGCCTTGGCCTAATATAGAATAGATGAAAAATATGCGAATGTAAAAATATCAAGTGGTTGAACTTCTCCTACAACCTTTAAGCCTTTGGGTAGAAAATGACCTTGATGCTTATAGCCTTAGCATTCAAATCTTCAATTTCCGTTTGAGCCCTCATTGATAGATCAGAGCACCTTTGATCTATATATATCCCCAATAACTATGGCTTGCTCCTCTATGTTAATGGATCAACTTGCACAAAACTTGGCTATAAGAACTAGTAATAAAGGATTGGTGGAGTGCAAGAGCCGCCTCTTAATGCAAATTTGAAATTTGGAGGAGGAAAATCTATTATAAAGCTTTATTATAATTTTTCCCAAATTATACATCAGCTTGTACACTCTATTTATAGAGATTTACATTGTTGTGGTAATCTGCAGGAATAACCTATACAAAAATTAGACCAACACCTCACAATTACGAAGAAAAATACATAATTAGCTCATCTAGTCATATCAATGGATGAATCATAACATATGAATGTTCTTAGTTTAATCTAATTTACTGATTTCCTCATGCCACTGCAAATATAACTTGTCAGTTTACTTCAGGATATTTTTGGGAGAGGAAGACAGAAGATTGAGCCTAAACAAGAACATGAAAAGAGGGTGGTATTAGAAACAATTGTGAGTCTTTTACCAACAGAGACGAACACAATATCTGTTAGCTTTCTCTCAATGCTCTTAAGAGCAGCTATATATCTGGAAACAACAGTAGCTTGCAGGCTTGATCTGGAGAAAAGGATAAGCCTGCAACTAACACATGCAGCTCTTGATGATCTTCTGATACCTTCCTCCTTTAATGGTGATATCTTGTTTGATATTGATACAATCCAAAGAATTTTTATAAACTACCTTCAACATGAGAATGACATAAGTCGGTTGGGATATAACACTGATGAAGACTACTTGTCTCCACCTCATGGGGGTATTGAGCGAGTGGGAAGGCTTATGGAGAGTTACTTAGCTGAAATTGCTTCAGATCCCAATCTTGGAATTGCTAAATTTGTGAGCTTTGCTGAGTTGATTCCAGAGCAAGCAAAGGTGACTGAGGATGACATGTACAGAGCAATAGATATATACTTGAAGGTAATTCTAAAAACTATGTTACTCCACTAGTTGAGTTCTTGATTAACAAACTTTCAATGCACCTGTTTGTGCACTGAATTCAGTAACTTCTTTAGTAGACTACCATTTAGACCTATTCAAAGCTTTTTAAGTAAAATATGTAAAAATTAATATAGAATCTCATTTGATTTTTTTTTTGTTTTAGACTTCATTTGAGACGGCTTTCTTATTGATTCTTAAAGCAAATTTCTAGTACAAAATTTTTATTTTGTACTAAAAAACTGCTTTAAAAAGCAGTAAGAAAGCCATCATTTTAGCTGTATTTTGAGAGAATTTATGTATGTACAACCTTTTCTCTCAACAAAAAAGAGGTTATTTCCCCATGATCTGTTTTAACAAATGAGCCAATTACTGAAAATTCTCACATTGAGCCACTTATATTGTTGAAGCCAGCCTTAAGTACCTAATTTCTGTAGTCAAGATCGTTTTATGTAGATCATTAATGTTCCACATCAATGAAATTGTTGAGAGGAAGATTTTAAAAAAATGACCGTTGCTATTTCAACTTTCAGGCTCATCAATTACTAACTGAAGCTGAGAGGAAAAAGATATGTAGCTTGATGTATTGTCAGAGACTATCAAGAGAGGCATGCGCGCATGCAGCTCAGAACGACAGGCTTCCTGTTCAAACTGTTGTTCAGGTTCTTTTCTATGAACAGCAACGCATTAGAGATTCTACTAGTTCAAACTTCATTGGAGGAGAGTCTCCAGCCCCATCACTCAAATCAGGTTATAGCACCAATTTCCATGATTCGGCTGATGAGCTCTTACAGTTGAAGAGAGAAAATGATAATCTTAAACTTGAACTGGTAAATATGAGAATGCAGATAAAGGAAACAGGAAAGCCAGTTTCTGGTAACAAAATGTCTTCTGCGGATAAACCACCATTGCCTAAGAAATCATTCATGAACTCAGTATCGAAAAAGCTCGGCCGGCTTTATCCCTTCATTCGATCTGATACTGTAAAGGAGCTCAGTGAGAAAACAAAGATGAAACCACCAAAAAAGTGGAGACATTCAATCTCTTAAAAAAGTACTATTTTCATCAAATCAAGAAGAGTTGAATCCAAGGCTAGCTATATATACGAGGTGTGAGATTTCTTTCTCTGCACTTTTATCAAATTATCAATGCTATTATTATGTAAGTCTGATTATGTGCAGTTCCCTCTAGATCTAATGGCAGAGAGAACAAGGAAGGCATTCTGGTAGATTCAAATCTGTTTTTTGAAGGGCTTTTTTCTTTGTATATAAAGATGATTGTATTGAGTTGAACCATATTGGGATGTCATCAAAGTGAACTTGATTCACTCACCTCCGGCTCTCATCTCACACCTTACATTCGCTGGTCTGCATTTTAACTTTTTTTTTCTATGTTGGTACCAATGACTCTTCTTTAAATTAGCAAATCATTAGCATTTTTTTTTTAATATGTTGTAAAAGCAAGAATATGTGTTTCTTCAGTGTTTTTGAAACTGCTACGTATTTGGTAAGTCAATATGTCAGCAAATTCATGACTAAATTAGATTCAGCCATCTCGTGCTGTAGTTTTGTTATGACCAATGAAATTAGGGTTTAAGTGAGATGAGATGAAATTATCGTTTAAGGTTTCGTACTGTTTCTTAAAGCAACTTACAAGCAAAAAATTTTAAACTGAATTTTTTTATTAGAAAGCTGTTTTAAAAAGCAATAAAAAACTGTTCAAACTGAAACTAATTGAGATGAGATGAAAGTACTGATCGTAAAGTTAATTGGGACAAAACTTATATAATATATATAGTTGTAGAAGAATCTCTAAGTGCTGAATATTCATGCTAAATATCGTTATAATTTTCCCTAATTCCTTCAAAAAATGCTGCTACTTAATACAATGTAAAGTAAAATCATGCAAAATTTTCATATTCAATATCGCTATAATTTTTTTCTAATTCCTTCAGAATTTGCTGCTATGTAATACAATGTAAAGTGAGATCATGTTTGTGTTTATTTTACAACAAATTTATGAATGAAATATAAATAAATTTGCTTCACCAACATCAAACCAAACATAAGAAACATCTCTAATCAGCTGGAAATGTAATGTGGGCCTTTCCAACATAAAGTTTTTCAATAAGAATTATAGAATATGCAACAATATGCAGTAAATTTCTTATATGAAGACTAAATTATACCAATTATGCTACTGCAAAGTCTAAAATTGCGAAACAAATGTCTACATGGTCTATAGTTGGCTTGTCTTTTCCCAGTCCTTGGTCTATAGAAGCATTAATTTGTTTCCTATGGCCTACAAAGGCAGCATGCTTAAAGAAGCTATGAGTTAGTTTTTTTTTTTTTCATTGGAACGGGATATCTATTTTATTATTTTAATTAATAATAAAAAAGTTCTAAACTTCAATCATTAAAATTAATAATTAAGTTTCGAATTAAAAAAAAAACAAATGCCGTATGAACAGTGCGACGTCAATATTGGCGTCGCACTGTTCATCTCCCTTCGAATGCCGGCAAAAATAGCGATCGGTTGGAGGGAAGGAAGAACGTCAAACACTGATTTGCCGTTCGGTTGGAGATGCCCTTAGGAGGTACATGACAGCATAACTAATCCCTCTGTGAGCCTACCAACAACTAGCCCCCACAGGTGCAGGACCTGTAGTCCCCCACTTAAGGGGGTGCGTCGCATGAGAGGGGATTCGAACATGGGTTGGGGGATTCCAAACCATGCTTTCCCACCAACCTAGCTAAGCCGGTGGGGTTCTATGAGGTAGTGAGAAATTAAGCCAGTTGTTCTAGAGGCTAAAATGAGGCTAGGTTGTTGCTATCTGTCATTCCCATGAATGATTTGATGGGATTAGAGATGTCTTACATAAGCATTAAATTAAGGTGCTTAAAATAGAATTACAATCTAAAGTTTACCGCATAAGAATGAACAGGGTCTTCATACTCATCTAAAGCTTCATATAAATTTTTTTTTTCTTTTGTTTTGCTTAAAATCTTCTCTTCATGCTCATCACAATTCTCTTTAGATACTTCAGCAAAGTATATCAATTAGTTTGTATCCCATGCAATTTTGGTTCAAAAATCATATATTTCTACTGGTTGTTTAGAAGCTAATCACAATAATATGACACAAGTATATTTGTGGGTTTGTTTTGGGTATACTCATAGGCATTCTTTGGTAATGTATCACTTGTGCCAAATCTTTTTTTCTTTCAAAAAAAGAATATAAATTATGCTGATAAAAATCAAGCATATAATGAACAATAAAATTTAACTACATATATGACATTGCTCTATGCAAGCAACAAAAGAAGCTCTGGCCATGAAAAGCATCTTAACAAATTCAAATTGTGCCTAAAGCCAACATACCTAATCTTATATTGTAGATAAACTATGCTTCAACTGAAATGGAGCTTGATTAAGAAAAAAAAAATCTAAAAAGACATCCATGGAGCAACCACTATTGGCACATAATAAGAGAACACAAAAAGGAAGCAACCAGAGCGTTCAACTCTATCTCCTCAAAATTAACAAGAAAGGAGCCTTTGAGGATAAAATCACCAGTAAGGGGAGTCTACCCTATATATCTTCTAAAGAATTGACAACTTCTATAGTAATATTAGAAGGGTGCACACAAATTGTCCAGAAGAAGAAGGCTTGGTAAAAGCACTGATAATAAGTTTGACCTTACACTCGGTCGAAAAGGTATTGAGTTGCACTTCCCAATGTTAAAAGTGTGATTAGTAGAGGGTTCAATGATAGTTTCTCCCTCAAACCCAAATGCACCTTTTTAATCTTAATTTGAGCTAGTAATTCACTTTAGGACTGCAAACGAACCGAGCCGAGTCGAGTATGTGAGTGTTCAAGTTTGCGTTTGTTTATTATTACCTTGTTCAAGTTCGGTTCATGTTTGGTTCGTTTATTGCTTATCGAGCTTTAAACAAACAAATATTAACGAGCTATGTTCTTGAATATATTTAACAAACAATCTATTGAACAAACAAACCTTAAATTTGTTCATGAACATCTTAAACAAATAATCTAGCAAATTCATTATCTTAAATGTAAAATGTCTCTTGTTCATAAACAAATTCATTATGTTATAATAAATTTAAAATATTTATATTATATATATTTATCAATTTTATAATTAAATATTAATCGAATCTTTATTAAGTTTATTCACGAGCTCTGAATCGAATACAAATCAAGCTTAATGTCGAGCTTGTTCACGAGCTTCAAATGATGTTGTTCAAAAACATAAATGAATAGAACACATTAATGTTCAAGCTTATTTATTTAAGGATCGAGTATCTAAAATGCTGTTCAAGTTTGTTTGTTTAGTTAGTTAAACGATCACAAGCGAGCTTTAATCGAACCAAGCAACGAGTAGCTCGTCAAACGTTTGGTTCACTTGCAGCCCTAATTCACTTGTGCAGTGGGCATGCTGATGGTTTATTTGAGTTGAGCTCTTGTTGGTGGGATATTTAAGAGAAAAAACCTTAGAAATCTTAATAGAAGGGCATCAATTAAGATTTCGGTGCAAGATGCAATGAAAGTGCTAGTTATAATCTTACAACTTTATTTTTCTTTTGGAAATATAAGAGAACTTCCTCAAAGACAACATCTTTACAATAGCTTTCAACATCATCACACATTCATGCCTTATTATATAAGTTCTCTATAACATCAATTTCAACTTATACTTTAGTAGTTGAAGAACTAGATAATTTCATAGGTGGTAGCATCCACAAGCAAACATTCTATAAAGATAGCTTCTATCGAATAAATGACTTTCAAGGGGAATGATACACCATGAGGGGGTAAATTATTGCACTTATTTATTTATTTCAAACTATAAATTTATATGTGTTATATAAATTAAATTACAACCACAAGAAATATTAAATTCAAGTAATTAGCATGCAGATAACTTTTACATTGTTCAGCCCCAATCACCTACGTTATATCTAATGCTCTTGAGAATTATGATTCCACCACTCACTATCTTCCGCTAGTCAAATCCTTCGCTCCTCAAGCTAATGAAGAAACTATCCCATTAATGCATCACTCTCCTCAGCATGCAAGTGCTATAGACAAGCATTAGAAGAATGAGAAAATATATTAAGTCTCCCCATATTCAATACTTTCAAAATAAAATAAAAATGTAGAAAAAAATAAAGAACTTTCTTATAACAATTTTATCATTGAAAAAAAAAATGATACTTCATAGAAGCATAACACAAGTAATTTACTAATTATACTCTTGTCTCTTGCTCTTATTCAAATGATTTCCTTAAGCTTTTTGAGCTAGCTATCTTTTTTGTTTTTTGAACTTTGATGTGCTCATCTAATATATTTATTAATGCTTTTGCTAATTCTACCTCTAAAAGGAAAGAAAAGGAGCTTAATATGAATATATGCCAAAAGACAATCTTTAATAAGTAGAATCATATACTTTACCATTAGAGATCAAGAAAATGGAGCATGGAAAATATATGCTTCCTATAAAGCTGAGATTCTTCATTCCTCCATTGTTGATGCATGCCAAGAACTATAACTTTAAAGCTAAATCTCATATGCCACTTCTCAGTAGGGGTGTCAATATTTGATACAACCTGAAAATCGGATCTGAATCTGACCTGAAAATTCCAAATTATGACCAACCCATTTGAGAAAAAGGTCGAACTCGGGTTGGGATATTTGACCAGTTTGCAAACCGGGTTGGGTCGTGTCATGTTCGACTCGAACTTGACCCATGACCTGATTTTGACACCCCTACTTTTCAATCAATACTTTTTTATTGATATGGAGCTTAATGTATGAATATGGAACAAATATTTGGACATTTTTTCATTCGTTAAGTTTATTATTGTTTATTTATTAATGTGAATACTTGTAATGATAGTGATGAGGAGGTAATAACCATTGATTGTATTTTTCTTTTATACGGCTTGGTTAACTGAACATATTTGTCATTTTTTTGTGCTACTGATTTGTGATTATTTTGAAAATGATCACAAACTTTTAATAAATTGCACTCATTCAACTCCTTCAATGAAAGGTGATACTCTTCAATCTCCTTCAGAGGTGCAGACCATCATAAGATACATGAGATTAAGAAATGATTTATTTAATCATTTTAAGAGCCTCAAACTTTGTTGATTTATACGATAATAAAATGAGGATATTTCAATTAAAATAAATTTAACAACAATATAATATCATTTAAATAATAAAATTTGGTATATTATTTATAAATAAATATGATGATATATATAATTAATTAAATTTTCACTTTAAGTTATAAATTGTTATTCTCCAACTCTTTGAATCCTTGCTTTATGTGCTCAATGTCGATTTGATGAGCTCCATGAAATTTTTGTATCATGCAACCACATAGGCGCTACTCTACATGATTTTAGCTTATCAAC